AGCATGGGTTAGAGCAGCGGCAGGCACTGCATCCTCTCTCGTCTACGAACTCATCGATACCGAAAGGACAGCGTTGGTCCTCACAGTCAGACGGCGGACAGTCGACGGGTGATTCAGAAACGGGTCTCAACTCAGTGGGAATTTGCGGGGGAATGGGCTGAACGGGTGATATTCCCGAACAGAATTTCATACATAATTCATATGTTTTAAAGCGATTCTTATTGCCATTACATCCGCCGTAAGCAAATGGAAGACAGATATGACTTTGCGGATCGTAAAACCAAAACGCTTGCGTCTGACGGCACGGCCCGGACTCCACTTCCAAACGGCACACAACTGTCATAATGTTTAAAAAACATGTTTAATACAAAAATTAACAACGATATAGTTGGCTGACCTTCGCTGGAATCATATTCTCCCGGCCCGTCCAGTGGTCTCGAAGTTCTGGCCAAACATCTGGATTCGCATTCGTGTCGGTTATCAAAACGGTTTTCGTTTCCGTCACATCCGCCGTAAATGAATTGTTTGCATCCGTTATCCTCTCGCGAGTAATACCATCGCGGGAAGTATCCCTTACACATACCCGACGCGTACGGCAGGTCACACACATTGGTCACCGACGACGCGGTCGACACACCGCTGTGTGGCAGTTGTTTCTGACACTGAGCCTCACACATCTCTTTATTGTTATAGCGATTCGCGTTTCCATGACATCCACTGAAGAAGAATTCCAGGCATTCGTTGGCATTCGAGTCGAAATACCATTGAGTGAAACGTCCAGAACAGGAACCGATTACTTTGGATCTGTTTAATAAATCACATATTTTTAATAACAACATAATTATTGAAAGATATGATACAATTTATATTATATTAAAATCGATTGTATTTGATGTAAAGGTACTGTACGTTACAGTGCCGTACAGTGCAATGCCTTACACTGTAAGGCTTACAGTGCAGTACTTTCCTAAATCTAAAGCTAACTTATATCTTGTGTACCAAAGTTTTAATCAGTTATAGAATAGAGTTTTAATAAGTATTAGAAACAGGAAACGAATGACAGCAATATTACATAGTTTTAAAGGTAAAATAAATGACAATTTCTTACAGTTTGCAGATGTCTTGTGAGTTCCAACACTTGGCTTCGCAATCACTTCGAGATGCGAATCGATTTTCATTGCCATCACAGCCTCCATAGAGGAACTCTTTGCAGACGCCGTCTGTCCTGTCATAGAACCAACGGATCTCATTCTGAAAACACGGTCCGGAATCGTATGGTTTGCCACAAAACTCAGTCTTGAAGTGTTGGACCGATAGCTCAGTGGAGACAACAGTGAATGGGCCGCACATCGAAGTGCACGCTTCAAACGAATTGAAGTTATTTTCGTTGCCTTTACAGCCGGAGTAGTAAAACCGATGGCATCTCTTATCCTCCATATCGTAATACCAACGCTCTCTATAGTCATAACAATTGCCCGACTCTTTGGGCTGATGGCACGCATTGCGGTCGATGTGTACGAAAAGACACGACCGCTCGCATGCGGTCCTATCATCGAAGCGGTTGCCATTGCCTTCACAGCCTCCATAATAAAATCGCTCACAACGTCTGGATTTAGCGTTGAAATACCATTGAATGATAGCTGCCCTACACGGGCCCTCTGCTCGCGGCAGTGAACACACGTTGTCGGCCGTCGGCATCGGCCGGATTGTACTGCACTGTCTCTCGCAGGCGCTCTTATCGACGAATCGGTTTCGATTGCCTTCACATCCGCTGTAAATGAATTCGCGGCAAACGGCGTGAGGGCTGTCGTAGTACCAGCGCGGGAATGACCCCAAACACGGACCCTCTGCCTTCTCAAACGCGCAGATCTCTTGAGCCGTTTGAGATCCGCATGCGTTACGACATTCCTCGTCGGACTGGAAGTTATTCTGATTGCCTTTACATCCGCCGTAAGTGAATGGCAAACAACGATTCTCTTCCTTCCTATAGTGCCAGCGCTCGTAGTTTCCACGACACGGACCTTAACACACAGTTTGCGTTCATTATTCACATTATAATTGATGAAAGAATTAGTGAATCAAACAATAGTGAAGTGAACTGACCAACTGATGGCGGCTGTTCACACCTGTCCAAAACAGTCTCCTGATTGACACACATGTGTTCGCATATTTCTCTTGTTTCGTAGCGATTGGTGTTTCCAAGACATCCCCCGTAAACAAATTGTTCGCAACTTCTGACATCGGGGTTGAAGTGCCACAACACATACGAGCCATTGCAGGGGCCGCTCACCTTTGGCAGAGCGCACCTCTCGGGCCCCTCGGGAGTAACGCACGATCTTTCGCACTGTTCTTGCGATGAGAATCGGTTACCATTGCCTTCGCAGCCCCCGTACCAAAACCTATTACACCCGCCGTAATTGATATCGAAATACCATTTGACTGTATAGTTATTACAGGGACCCCTCTCTTTGTTCAGTCCACACACTTCCGACACTAGTTTCAGGTCAAGCGAAGGGCCAGACGGACAGCCCTCGAACTTTGGTCCATAAGCTATGGTCACTCCGTCGTGACAACAGCCAAATGGTGTGTTAGCACACGAACAGCCTTCAAAATTAGGTCCAGTGGCAGGTATTGTAGAGCCCGGACAACAGCCGTACGACAATGAATCGCACGGACAGCCGGCAAAGTTCGGTCCTCTCGCCCGCGAAACCATATCAGGACAGCAGCCGTATTGCGACGATTCACAGCTACAGCCATCAAAGTTAGGTCCGAGGGCTGGAGTTTGACCTAATTTACCATTCATTTAAATTAACGGCTTTACAAATACAATATAATTATATCATACCATCGTTACAACAGCCGTATAGCATACGGGAACAAATGCATCCGTCATATTCTGGTCCACGAGCGGGTGTATACTTGTCCTGACAACACCCGTGAGGGTCTGTAATACAATGGATAATATATATTTGGATTAAGTAATCGTCAATTTTATTTGCATATTCGCACAATTACTGCAAACATGTTATACGTGGTAAAAAGCAACAAAAAAAATTTTGCTAAATATTTTTTATATCAATAATAATTAAATTCTAACAAGAAAATAGTAAGATAAAAAGTTGTCAAAATTATAATTAATCTAGTTCCACGTGTAGATTAGCCTAAATAAAATATATAATTTAAATATCTCGGGCTGATAGCCAGAAACCACCAAGCTATGACCATTTTTGTGATCGCGTATAAAACGCAGTACTGGTGATTAGCCCAAGCACTGCGTGAAACACCATTTATCAATGCTATACGCCGTATACACGCGACCACAAAAATGGCTACAACTCTGTCAGTTCTGGCTATCAGCCCGAGATATTTAAATTAAATTTGTTGTCCTACCCTACACGTAGAATTGGATTAATGTAAATTTGGACAACTTTTCTTGTAAGTAAGCTAATAGTATTAATACTTACAGTCCTCACACGTGCAGCCATAATATCGGGGACCAGTGGCGGCCTTCTTGCCAGTGGGACAGCACCCGAATTCAGTGGCGTTACAATCAAGTGATTGAGTTGTGATGTCCGGAACACACGTGCCATCCGTGCAATTGGTTATGTCTTCAACCGGTTCTCCACTTCCTTCAGTTTTAACAGAAGTGTCTGATTCGGTGACAATATTATTAGAGCACAATTCACCGGATCCTTCACCGTCTCCCGAGCCATCTTCGCACTCGAGAGGAATCAAGAATTGTCCGACGAGTGTAGCTCTGGTCGGTTCCTTTTTGGTGGTGGTTGTGGTAGTTGTCGACACTTCAGTGGTTGTCATGATTGTAGTAACGGTTGTGGTCTCCGGAATGGGTTGCGGACACTCTTCAAACGTGAATGATTTGGCGGCAGAGATGCCGTCCGGACAACAGCCAAATCGGGTAAAATTGCAGACAACAGGACATCCCTTTTCAAAGGGACCGAATGGAGCCGTTTCTAAATCTTTACAACAGCCATATTGTGTTGCATTGCAGCCATCGGTCACATTAATGGGCGGACAATCAGCGAATGAATCGCCTGCCGGTGTGATCCCATCGGGACAACAGCCAGTCTTTGTATCCTTACAGCCACCGATACCGAGCAGTTGGTCCTCATCGCACTCAAACACATTGCAATCCTCTTTAGTCAATGGTTTAAGAGTTGTGTCACAACTTTCATCTGAGATTAATTCTTTGGATCCATTAAAACACAGGACTTTGCGTGACATCTGACCGCCACTGCACGGCACTAATCAATAAAATGATCTCTTTATTAGATAATAATGTAAAATATGACAAAAAGTATATACCAGTGCAGGACTCGTAGGGAGCGCTAAACCAAATGCCCTCACAATCCGAAAGCTTGCAAATCGACACATTTTGTGGTTTTTCAGAAATACATTCTTCTTCTTTGTCCACTACTATCTCTGACTTATCGTTAAGATGTCCGCAGAAGACATGTCTGGTTTGTAAGCCTTCTCCACATTCAACGCTACAATTACTCCATTCGGATGTAAACCAAAGTGGAGAACAGGGCGCAGATTCTTGACATAATTGAGTTGTTTCCGGCGGTTTGTTTGCATCGCAAGCTTTCGATGCAAATACAGCACCGCTTTCATCGCCACAAATGACTTTTCGGGTTTGAATACTAGGACCGCATTGTTTCTCACAAGAGGTCCAATCGGAGGCAAACCATTCAACGCCATCGCAAGGAATTTCATTGCATTCTTGAGTATCAATCGGGCGAAGACTGGCCTCACATTCAGATTCATTAACTGTTTCTCCACTTAAAGTACAATTCACTTCACGAACTTGTGTTCCGTTTCCACAGTTTGAGTCACACTTTACATAAATATTAAGTATGAATATAATTGTAAATTAATAACAATGTAATATTATAATCATATATAATACAATTATATTAATAAAAGCTTAAAACAGGGCTTAATACGAATTTGTATATAATACATGTAGCTTATCGTTAGAATTTAAATATGTAACAAACCTTTTGCCAAACACCTGCCGTCCAAACGGGACACTCCTTATCACGAATGCATTTTTGCAATGAAGAGGGTTTCGGTTGATTGAGTTGAAGACAATCGCGTTCGTCAAGAATGCCATTCCGTGAACTCGACGATTGACAGTAGACCTGCCGGTGCTGTACTCCGTAATGACACAAACACTCTGTCCATTGGGAGACCTCCCACGAGGCACACGGCTCTGTGTTACAGGTCATCCTGTCTTCTGGTCGAGTAATGGCATAGCAAAGAGATTCCGAGACCGGGTAATGATCCAGAACTCGAACGCATTGAACATTTCTGGTTTGAAGTCCTGTTCCGCAGGTTTTGCTACACTGAGAGAACTCAGAAGATATCCACGAATATATGGAGTGCTGGGCGAGTGTCTGAACGTCAGCCGGAATCGTGAACGAGAAGTCTATGCCTCGGTTTGGTTCGCGATATAAGAGTACAACAACTAATGGCTCAGTTGTAGGACCGGTCGCTCGTAAGCCTTCGGGCGACTGCACTCCGAATCGCGCTCGACGTGAATAGTATTGAAATGTTGTGCCGCCGAAGACATAGGTTTTAGGGATCTGTATCCTCCAGTTTCCGTTCAAATAGTATTGACCATTAATGTTACGAACGGCCAAATAGTTATTAGTAGCGAATCGCTCCCCGATTTGGATATTAGTGGCTCCGCTTGGGATCAGCAGAATGTCATTATAACCGACCCTTAACTTATCCAAATCAAACACTCCTTCAATTCTTCGACACGTACTCCCATTCCCACCACAAACGCCACAATTATCTACACTCGTGTCGCACCCAAAGTACTGTCACATAAATTGTATGATTAGTGCAAAAGTAATGCTAAGTTATGGCCAATAATTTATTAGTAAAAAACAAGATTTTATATAACTTTCTCAAAGATAGTTTAAGATAATTGGTTTTCTTTATAAATAAATAAGTATTTCTATATAAATAAATTAAAAGTGATTAAATCTGTGAGTGCAGCATATATTAATGGTAAAATTAAATATTTATTTTGTCGTTTATTGTATAAATTTTTATTTTTTAAACAAAATTATAAGTGTTTATAGATGGATAATTTTAATTTTACATTAATTTACTGAATGTAAAATATTTCACCAAGAATTTCAACATGTTAGAATTGGTTTTGTAATTTATATTGTATTTAATTTAATAAAATATAAATCTTGATTGCAGTAAAATGGAAACTTGTCTCCTCTATTTATTTACATGATGTAAATTACATCTAATATTTCAACAATAAACCGATTTTGTTTTTAAATTATTAATTTCACTGCCATTACATGATGTAATTTACATCCCATTTGTTAACATTTCCTTGAAATATAAGATTTTGTTTATTTAAGTTTCATTTGTTTTCAATTATAGAAATTCTGTCTGCCTTTTAAGACTAAACTTATTTTACAGAAAATAAATTTATTTAAATTAAATTTTAAAATAAATTGTCATTAATTATGTTTCCAATGAATAAATAATACAAATATATAAATAATGCAATAATACAAATCAGTTATTTATTAAAGACTTATGTTTGATTTAATAGTGACTGATATACTAACCCATTATTATTATAAAACTATAATTTGTTAAAAATGCCAGCAATTTTTGTCTACAAATACTAGACATTCCCACACCATTTAGTGGAAACTAAATGACATTGTTCACCTCTGGCCCCATACATACAATATATAGTGCAATACTAATAAACATATAGTGCATGTATTACAAAAACTTTTCAAGTAATTTGTAAACAGAATTTCTTAAAACTATAAAAATAACTAAAAATTGCTATAAAATATATTGAAACTAACCATTTAAGATTATTATAATTATAAAATATTGCACTTTTAGAGTAAAATTGCGAGAAAACGGTTTCGTTTAGCCAAAAAAACAATGAATGGGAAGAAAGTGAAAATCGCCGCAAGGCTTATGTCTAAAGGCTTTGAGAAACTAACGAGAAGTGAAGCTTTTGTTCAAACATTGCTTTTAAAAGAAAAATTCTTTTGAGAGACAAAACTTACTTGAGTTTGTGTTGCGTTCAAACAATTTAATAATATTAATACATTCACTAATTGTATGACTAAATTAACACAAATCTTTGTTTTATTCATAACTTATAATTTAGATGTTATTAAATTAAAGTACGAAAAGCAACAAAAAAAGTTTGAAACAATGTTTTTAGGCGCACATAGTTTGCATGGATTGCGCTCTTACTCTCTCACTACTGCACTGAAAGCTGAGCACATTTGGGCTCAAAGTTTTGCAAAACTAATGATTTTACTACTGATGGCCAAACAGTACTACAAAACTTCTTCACACTATAGGCTTCGACTCCCACTAAAAGAATATTTCAATTCTTAGGGGCGGTTTCAGACACCGGCCCTCACAAGCCCTCACTCTTCACACTCCAGGCTTTTGTGTGCAAAAGAGAGAGACAAACGCTAATCAGAGACAACAATCTTTACTATTACTGCCAATAAATACTGAATACAAAGTTGTGAACAATTCACGAGAATTCAGACATAACTAGTACTGAATTAGAGTAAAAGCTATTTTGTGTGAATCAAAGCAAAACCATTAATGAAATGATTGCCAATCGTTTGTAAATGAATTGTTAAATAAATAAATCATGATTTTGTTAATAAATAATGAAAAATGCATTTTCTATTTATTAATATAATGTTTTTTAATAAATTTTTTAAATAATTTACAGCGAATGGTTCGGTGAGAATCATTGCTTATTGAATGAATAAATGGCAATATTTTATATACAAATATATATATTTATAATATCATGTATCACAAGACCCGCCATAACATACCGTAATATTAAAATAATGTGCAATTAAACTGCAACTCATGTCATACTTATAGAAAAAACCAAATATATATATCATATCATTTTGTCGTCAAAAATGTCCCAAAATATCTAAAAATGAAATAAAATGATTGATTTGGTATCAAAAATGGAATAATTAATACATTTGGTTGACTCTAAATCAAACTCCAATTGAATACAAAAGTCATTTTTGTCTATATATTGTATAATATGTTTACTACACTTCCGAAACTCACAAAATACCAAATAGAGATACAAATCAAATGTTAAGAAAAGTTATGTTTTCATTCATTAATTAATATCTCAATCCGAGAGAAAAGTTAATTGAATTTCACATTCAATTAGAAAAATAGCGGAGAAATAGTATTCAAAGTGTGGACGCAATCCAACCGCTCTTCACCATAAAGTTGTATACTTTTCGCCGCAAAGACTTATCGATGTTCTCGAGACTGGATTTGCTGGAAGAGCCTGTCGTTCCCCTTTGGTTGTGATCCTAATGAAAATATTCATACAAAACATTACTTTTATAATTCAAACACAATATTAAGTTAAAGAATTTCAATAATTCCCACTCTATTAGTGAGTCATTGAGTTACTAATGAATTACAAAACAAGCCATTAATTGATTCAATCGACTGCCATATCCTGTAATAGAGTCGTGTATTTTATGCTGAATTAGAGCAACAAAACTAAAATATTTCCGATTTAATTGATTTATATCACAAACAAACTAAATATTTTCCCATTCATTTCATTAAAGCCGGTATTAAGCAGTCATTCAGTCATTAAGTATACTAATTGTAATAACAGTATAGGAATGGCATCCATAGAAATCATATTCTCATATTTGAAACAATTATACATTCATTTTTAACAATACAACTAAATATTTGTTAAAATTAAAGACAAACTGCAGACAAACCTTAAGAATGAGAGTTTTGAGAGTAATGTATTGCGAAGGTCTTAGCCTAACAGAAGAGCACAGCTTTTTCTCTCTGTCCGATAGTAGTCGACAGCCCGGAAGGGAAGAGATATCGAAATCATTTTTAATTTTATTAACGATTTTTGGCGTTAATTCTGACGACACTTTTGTGCCTTTTTTTGTGGTTTGAGAAACAGTTGAGTTTTGATCTTTTGTTATTTCGGAACCGGTTTTGGCGGCCATTTTGGTGGCCGTTCCTAACAATCGTTTGTGAGCGGAGCCAATACTTGCGGCGGCGCTTAGGATCTGAAAACTATGGCAATAATAAACAATTGCAATACGAATGGCAGACAACGACCCAAACACTTACCGATTTCTTCTTATTCTCTTTCCGCTTCTGGCGCTTATTGCGGGCCGACTCGAAGGCACTCAACTCACTCATACGCTTCAACCCATTCTTCCGGTATCTCATCAACTCTTTTATCTTACTCTTCAGCTCTTTCTCTCTCTGAATGTTTTGAAACAGTTCTCGACTCTCTTCTAATGATTGAAATCGTAGAAATGGTTTGTATTTATCGTCGAATGGACTCTTGAGATGGGCGTCGCTTTCTTGGGGTGATATCTGCTTTGAGCTCTTTTTGTTCACACCATTAGTGCTCTTCTGAGGCGTTGATTGGTTAAGATCTTTGAATGAGTGGTGATTCTTGAAGAAATGGCTGACTAGTCCGTACTCTCTTGTCATCACTTTCCGGTTAATCCTTTCTCTCAGTCTCTTTTGATACATCGAAATGTGGGCTAACTTTAAGTTAATCTCGATCTCATCGTCTTCGGCGTTCACAGAGAGGGTCGACACCAATGATTCCGATTCGTTGTCGTATTCCCTCTCGAAGTCATCCCTTTTAGGCAAATACCCCAACGAATCCTCTTCTTGACGGTTCACTTCGGTTATGGCCGGTAGAGGTGTTGTCAGTCCGGGAGAGAGTGGCCCGTCATTAGGACACGTGTGGTCTCGCATCGTCTCCGAAGAGTCTGTGTTCATCTGATTCCAAACGGCGCGTCCGACACTTCCCAACACGTAATAATTGGTGTAATGCTCTTTGGCGTCATCGGCGGTAACGTCATCGATTCCCACACTGTCCGCAATGGCCGTCCAGTTGCCGAAGCCGTACTGTTCGATGGCCTCCAGGAGCGCGATCTCATCCAAAGCCCTCCATTTGTGTGCTGTAGTGAAGATGGGAAACGTTCCGCAATCCTATACTCATGAGTACAATAAGTGGTGATAATTAGGTGATCGCCCCCTAAGACACTCCAATGCACTCACAATTAACTGATACGAGTGTCGACTCCTATGACTCCCGATCTCCGCTCCGCACGAAAAGCACTAAATAGTCATCAATATTACCACCAATTATCACATACACATCCATTCCTCACCTCAAGACACAGATCAAAGTCTTGACATTCGCTGCATTTGACACGAATATCAGTGATGTCTTCATCGCAATAATTACAGTGATATTTGCCTTCAGAGGGGAGACAACACTCGCGTTACAACTCATTCAATGCATGCATACTATCAGACATACCGGCCATCCCTTGCCATCACTCGATCGGTTCCATTGCAGACAAATTTGGGCCCAAAATCGCGAAACGAGTCAATAATTAATGCATTTTTCAGTTTTGAGTCCACTTTTCAACCATTGTTTCAAACGTTACATTCAGGGGTCGTTCACTCATTGCGAACACAGCTTAGCCTATAATCACTACTTATGCACCGCTTAGTCATTATATTGGCCTTTATTTCACTAATCGTTTACTAATTATAACTAAATTTATAACACAATCGTTTACATAAAGTATAAATCATTTAAATAATTAAGTGGTGTTTTGTTGTGTGGGATCTACTGTCGAGTGTATGTCATGACTGATGTGTTCGGGCAGTGACTCTATGGATGTCTTGTAGACTTTAAGAGCCACTCCTTCGGGAAGATTGCGTTCAATGTATTCGAGGAGTGTATCGGCGGTGGAAGCGGTCAAGTGTTGGAATTCAATGCTTCGGAAATAAGTCCTGAACTCGTACTGAACCCTATACTTCTTCTTCACGAACGCAGACCTCAATAGAGTCCGTCTAATAATCTTACGAAACGGTTCCCAACTGTCATCCAAATATCAAATCACCATTAATTCAGTTCTTAAAACATGCGTTAAATTTCACTCCAATCTTACGTCCGACTGATAGAGACATCCAAACCATTTGCCGCTAATTTGACAAAAGTTTCGTAACTATTGAGTACTTCCCGGTCAGCACTTCGGGCCTCAATCTCTATTGTCTTATAAAGTTTATCGGGTATTGACCTCTGAGTTGTGGTCACTTCCGATGACTAGTTAATCAAAATTATCAATCAATTGATGAAAAGACAATCAATTTTTCAAATACCGTTTGATTTTCAGTGAAATTAGTGGACAAATGAGATGATAATCGACTCAAACACGTGTAGGTCTGCGGCCAAGAGATGACATGTTTGAGAGTGTATTGTCTTTGTATTAAATTGTGAAAATTCATTGCAATTTCAATACAAATCGCAAATTCAACACAAAATTACAATTAATTTAAATGCTTTCATAAAATGATTCAAAGTTTGAAAACACATGAAATGCTTTAAACGTGTGATAATAATAACGTCAAGTATTGGCCAAACATTTACTAATCATTTGTTAATTACATTTTATATAAAATACTATTTAGATATTTATTTCGCAAATTTGTTGACTTTTTAATGAATGAGTGGTTTATTATCATTAAAATTAACCGCAGAAGAAGGTGTAGTGAAGAAGAGAAATGTTTGCATTCGTGACGTTATTATTGAATATATGACACAAAATTCAGACAATTTTTGAAATGGTTTTGTTTTAGAGGTTTTCAACGTTTGAGTGAATCGTTGGATCAATTGATAGATTGATTGCTTGGTTGGTGTGAGACATGGATCGCATACATCGGCCCGACTCGAGGCCATGGATTTTGGCCGGAAGTGTTCGGATCGAGCAATTGGTGGACACGTGGGCTAACACTCAAGTGATGCACGAATTGAACGCCAATGAGACTAATGTGAAGACATTGTTGTCTCAGGAGTTGCAGATCGACGACAAGATGATGGCTCTGTTGGCGAAGGACTGCCAGCCGTCTAATCTCGACTGCGAGGGCGATGACGAAGAACTCTATGTCGCCTACGAGAAGACATTTGAGATCCCATCAAATGTCACGTTAGAGACGTTGCGGCTCCAGAAGCAGCACATCGAGAGGTACGCCACCGACCGATGCTATCGGACCGCATGTCTTCAGTCATTGCGATACCGGAATCAACTGATAAGAGTCGACAACAATACTCAATCACAAAGTAATTGTCCCATAAATGAGTTAACAGTATAAGTATTATATCAACATTTACTCCAATAGTGGACTCAATCCCACCAATTGAGAGACCCGTCGCTATACTTACCGTCCAATTGTATCGACCGATCCGTTTCACTACACACTTCGGTAGTACTCATCGCTATGCGTTTGTTTGCGATCAAGAACTGGAAGTGTTGTCCACTCAATGGTTGACTGAATTACGTGACACATTCACGTGTGTATCCGATATCTCTAACGCGAGTGATTGTAGTCGTAATCCGAGGGCCGCTCTCAACCAAACGGCAGCCGATGTCTACAAATCTGGTCTTTTCTTTATTAACAACACATTCTATAGCGATATGAGAAACCAATTCAATAGGGATTATAGCGAGTAATTAACACTTTTTTATTTAAATGTCAATTTGATTATCCGTTTGATTGAATTAATGAATTGACAATTATTTTTGAAGACCAATCATCGAGTGGTCGCGCAATAAGGAGCGAGGGATCGGCCCTTTCAAGGCCTGTCTGATGGAGAGCACAAAATTCAGTGATTTAGAGATACAATTGGGTTATCCCTATCTATACCAACATCAGGGAGACTGCGAACACATTCTCGTGTTTAGTGATATTCGTCTCCTGAAGCCGGGCGTCGATAGTATGGAATCGATTGATTACCCGAAGATTGTGAGTACTAACCGTCGATCGCAGGTGCGGTGCGGTATGTGTAACCTAAACACTGCCAAATGGATGACTTTCCATAACCAGCGGTTACCGCAGAATCCATTCTTCTTCTGCGAGACCTGTTTCTATGCATTCAATTACGATAAGCACGAGAATAAAATCGGTTCATTCAAAGCGTTCCCATATCTCGACAAATCAGCCCTTTTGTGAATACAAAACGCGTTGCACTTAATATTAATGTCCTCTCCTTTTATCTTATATTCCTTTGCCGTGATTTGCAATTTGTATCAAAACTCATAATTCATTTAATGGATTTATAAATAAATCGGTAATTAATTTTTTGTTATAAATAATTTATTGAAATCAGAATACATTAACTCTTTATATTATTCTCTAATTTCTTTTAAACTAAAACTATATATATTTTTATGACTAAAATCGTCGAGACTTTTGCTTTGAATTTATTTAAATAAATTTCAAGTTATACTTTCGTTTTGACATTTCGTACTAAAGTTATATAAATTGTGTACATTTTTTCATAATCTAATTGTCGTTATTTAGTCCCAAATCTTGGGCTTATGTTTAGTTTTGTCTCATTCTCTCCACAATATTAGTGAGAAAAACAAATGCAAACAAAGTTTGTTATGATATTAAAAAATGTGATTTTTGATTAATTTGTGACAAAATAAGACATTCACTCTATAAAAGTGTTTTAATTTACAAAATACTAAATTCGTTTCAAATTGTTTTATAGATTTTGTTTTTTACATTTAGATTTGTTTTGTGAATAAAAATTGTTTTTAAACCTCATTTGAATTACAATAATAATAATAAACTAATTTATAATAAAGATTATGTTTGTTGTGTTTGTGGCGACACTTGTTCTAAGAGTTGATGACATCGATTGCATACCCGAACGGGTTTGACGTAACCATAACGGGCTAATGGCGTGAAATTGTTTGAACAGTTATTACAATAAATTTGACCACAATTTCTGCAGTGATGTCTTCGCCTAATGATTGTGAACTGAGAGCAACATTGGGTACAAACGGACACGAGTTCGTCGGGAACCCAAATCGGAGGCAAAAGCAGTTGTTGTGTCTCTTCTCTCAAATATGTCATGTTTTGTGTCAAATCGTCTGAACCTATACTCTCTGTTTGTGGCGAATAATCATCACTTAATTGACTCAACAATGAGTTCTCGTTTGTGAAAGTAGTCGATCTCGAAATCAAACCATTCGAGTCATCGGTTGTGTTCACTATAGGAGTGTCCGTATCGTTGGTAATGTCCGCTAATTCTAAATATTCCTTCGCTTCGACCGCTTCCTCAACACTGATGTCGTCTTCATCTGGAGTTCGGTTCAACTCAAACACATTCCTCAATATATTCCTTAAATCGCTCGCATAGTTAGACTGTAACTGATCCGCAATTCCTATATAACAACGTTTTCATCAAATCCATAGATTAACCATTATTCTGGTCGAGTAAACACTCATTCGTATACAACATACAGTATAGTACAGTCAAACCTACCAATCTTTTTCATATCAAACTCTATTCATATGTTTATTACATTTCCTATACTTTTATCATTGGCTATAATTTTCTATGTGATGCCAATTTTAATCGCATTAGAAATGTGGTTAAATGGGTTCGCGCGATTACCCCCTATGCTATGCGTTAACCACAATTGGGGCTCAAATTGGCTCAAAGAATCCCATAGACTTGTAGACTTGCAATGAGCCCACAGGAAAAGCATTAAAAATATAGATGTTCTCATGGAATTAGCATTATCCTTTAAAACTAACATTTTCATATTGTACTACTACATAGAATTAGCATTAAATACCGTATTCAATATGTGGTGTGAGATTTTCCATGGTTTAATTTTCATTCATTAGTTTTCATTCATTTATTCAAAACTGCTTTTATGATTACTTTTAGTTTCTAACTCTTCACTCAATGTTTTATAATTCCTGTCATTTTAAACTGTAACTTAATTTTTAGTTTTTAAGGGATTATTGCCAGTGAGTGGAAGGTATGGGTTAGCCGTTAGATATGATTAGTACTATTTGTAGTGAATTGTGGTAAAAATAATTGCAAACATACCGGCGATTGTAACAAAAAGTTTGTGTAGTAATAGTCTTGTTTGCGATGGAATATACTGTGAATTCCTCGCATCGATTGCTATTCAACATAAATAATTCAATTAATTTAAAGCCAACAATAATTGGGATAAAATAACTCAAACCTAATGCGATCTCAAACGAGTCAACAGATGCTGTGGTAGTTGTGGTCGAATCAACTGAAGTGACACTCAGATTGTCTTCAAAGTCATGGGTTTGTTTGGGAACACTGTGTGAAGGAGTCATCAGTGATAGAGTAGACACTGATTTGGTTTTGTCAGAATTGGCTGACATTTGTTGGATTCTATTCTCGGGAACAGAATTACTTCGTTTCCGTTGATTGGAAACGTTGTGAAGCGAAACCTTATCGTAAGAATTGGATGCAATACTCTCTTCATTGGTTAGCAGTTTCTCTAACACTTCCACTTCTATTCGTCGCAACACAAGTAAAAGATCTCGAATTTTCAGAAGTAAACTAAAAGATTAAAACATTTTGAAATTGTTTTTAATGTGAGATATATTTGAATGAATGGCATACTTGTGGAAAGGCTTAAACAGATTTGAGAGCTGATCCCTTGACTTCTTGCAAATAGCGGATCCATTTCCGAGTAGGAGTCCGGTGACGATCGCCAGTCTCGGTATTGCGATCATAGTCTTGGGCTGACAGTCGTCGATGTCGTCCTGCGATATGAGACCTCTTTTAAGCGCTTCGCGAAGTGTTTCGCTAAACAAAACAATCACTTCCTGTTGTTTCTCGATCTCATCGGCGCTCTTAATGGGAAGCATTGACTTCACGTATTCGTATTCAAACGATGAGAACAATTGGTCGAAATGTTCCAGTTTTACGACCATTTCAAACGATAGATTCCCTCTAAACAAGTCATACAAACAATATATTCATTCAATTCCTCTCTCACTCTGCGCTCAATAAATGTTGTATTCATTTACCTCTCGTCCAAATCATTACAACAGTTCCTTAAGTCAAGCCTTAACTGATCCAAAGTGGTTGTCAATGATTTAGCCATTGGCCTCAATAGAGCGGATTCGCTCTCGTGGTTCATAATGTTAGAGCCGGCGGCCAGACATTCGGCACCGAACCATATCTGTCCGTTGAGCGATTCGGCGCCTTCGCCCGTCAGTAAGTCATCTGTTATATCAACTATTATTTACTTTTCGTCACGTATTAGACATTGTTTACAAACTAATATTTACATTCACTTTCACGCAAAAGCAAATATATTATATTAATTATCTTTTAGACAATTAAAGACAAACAAAACACAGTTATTGTACTGTTATTATCGTCTAATGAACGGTGTCTTTGAGATTATACTAAACACTGTATACTTTACGTTATGTTTAATTTAATTGCATTTCATAACAAATGGTGTAAATCATAGCATAAAATATAAGACAATATAACAGAATTGCAGTGCAATTAACGTAATGTGTATCGAAAGTGACAACTGTTGTGCGATTTAATGGCCATTAAGTCTACAGAAAACTAGTAAAAGGCAAAGACCTGGAAATTTGATCCGATAGTCTCTTGAGGTGCGAACGCAATGCCATTCGTCCATCAATTTGAAGATATAAGTGATCACTTTGTCTTGAGCTGACCTGTGGTTCATTATAAGAGCAATTGAATACAATTGAAAGCATTAATGAGTGAGTGATTTCATGAATGGCTGTGAATGTGAACCTCAATTGGTTGACGAGATGAGTGCAACGGATCGGATCCTTTCGGCCATCAAATGAGTCCAATTGGTGAGCGATTCCGTTCAGCTCTTCGTCCGCGTAATACAAGTCCAGAAGAGTATTGTTTGCGAAACACATCCGCGAAACACCTGTCGATTGGCTCAACATTCGCGACACAAACCACTTCCTTATGGACAACATCTTGGGATCAGTTCAACACAACCACACAATCAGACAATTTAATCACACATTTGTCCACTAATTCATCAATCGATGGCTTCTTGTAATCAAAGCAAACAATTAATGAATGAATTAATAATAAAATATTTAATTAAAACTAATAATTGACTTCTTTTTGCGTCATTTGTGACACACTTTGCGTACAAATCATACAAAATAATAGTCTCTTATGTTTTGATTGCAAAACAATCAACAATTCATTGCAATGAATGCTTTGAATGAATGCAATGGCATTCACTTCACAACAACTACAGTGTAGTCACACTATAGCACACATTATAGCACACACTGTAGTACACAATCACTGCAACCAATACTAGTCATTACAGACACACCAACGCTCTCTACCGCACAGTATAGACATGACATGCAATACATTTGCATCAATCCATGCATTCATTCGTTTCGCTTCTTCACCACAACAACCAATTGATGACAATTGTGACAAACAATGTCCAAACCTCAGCATTTGTCACAAGTTGTGGCCAATCATTACAATAGTTTGCAAGAGAAGGGTAAAGACGCCCGAAAAGAGAGCCGTATTTTTCATTTAAGAAACTTTAACAATTGGATCAAATCGGTGACAATCGGTACGTGTCTTAACGTGTCATTCATGACAACAGATATACTTTTATTGATTGTTTTTTAGCCGATATTCTTAAGAGAATAAGAGATGAGAAGGGATCTGATTGTGATATTAATGTGTTGGACATCGGATGTGGTAAAGGAGGAGATCTTCTTAAGTACGATAAGGGAAACATAACTCATATCATATGTGCAGGTCTTGTATCGGTTCCGCATTTTGCAGTTATTATTGTATATTTGTATTAAACAATGTATTGGTTATCAATGATTGCAGACATTGCGGAGACATCTGTGAAACAATGCGAAGACAGGTATATGGAAATGAAGAGAAGACAGGGCTCTAACAATAGGGGTAAACACTTATTTACTGCAGAATTTATTGCTGCCGACTGTACTCGAGATGTGCTTAAAGACAAATACAAAGAGCGAGAGATTGATTTAGTTTCCATTCAATTCTCATTTCATTACTGTTTTGAAAGTCTATCGCAAACGAGAAGAATGATAGAGAATGCGAGCCATCATCTGAGAAACGGAGGAATATTTATCGGCACCACTACTGACTCGCAAGAAATCATTAAACGTTTGCGTAAAAGCGAAACAAACAGTTTCGGAAACAGTGTCTACTCTATTAAGTTTGACGACAAATTCAATGATACAAACTATAAAATACCCATTTTTGGTGCTAAATATGACTTCCATTTGGACGGAGTGGTCGATTGTCCCGAATTTCTGGTCTATTTTCCAGTTTTTGAGGACATTTGCAAAGAATATGATTTGAAATTAATTTATCGCAAAAATTTCGGCCAATTGTTTGACGAGAATAAAGACAAGAGAGAAAACACACAACTATTGAATGTTATGAATGCTCTCGAACTCTATTCAAATGACACCAAGAATTCATTGATTGGCGACAACGACACGGATTACAAACACGCCAAACAAGCCCTCGAAGCCATTTCATCGGATTCCCGCAGCAGACAGTTGGGCACTCTATCTCAGTCCGAATGGGAATGCATTTCTATTTATACTGCATTCTGTTTCCGAAAAGTGTGTCCTAACGATAAACCCTCCACTAAACGACACAAAACTGATTAAATATTTCTTATATCATATACTTTTTAAAGTTATGTATAATTTATTTAAATTTCATTGCATTTATACAAGTGTCTTCATACTATTGTAAATGTTAATCAATTAACATATTGTTATTAATTGTAAATTCCTATTAATTCCAATAACAGTACAATTATTAAAGTAACAATTTTGTATCTTCACTCAACATACCGGTATTTATTTTAAATTGAAAATTGGTATTAATTATAAAACCACACCAATTAATGGTGTCTAATATAGTAATACAATAATTAAATTGTAAGCAATTTATAGTAAGTTTACAAAAGTTTTATAATTGATTGAATAGAAAGATAACCCCTTTTAGGTTAACTTCTTTGCATTACATTTGTTTGAATTATAATTCACACAAACCGTGAACTAGAGTGAAGTATTGCAGTGAAGTTGCAAAAGAGGGGCATTTGTTTGTTGACGTGATTTGTGTGGACGACAAGCGAAACGTGTATTTGAGTGAAGACTTCCTTTTCCTGTAAAACAATTGGTCTTAAAGTGAAACCAAATCATGAAAAAGGTTTGAATCAATTGATTGTCCATTTAATGAGCCATTAATTAATGATTTGATTGTCTGAATAGACGGTCAAAAAGGTTAGAGTGCGTAAAGTGGCGCCATTGCCGTCATTGGTGGCCAACAAGTCCGCCAAAGATGTCAAGAAGACAGTCGACCCTCTGATCCAGAAGAGGCCCAAGAACTTCGCCATCGGCGGTGACATTCAGCCCAAGCGAGACTTGACCCGATTCTTCCGATGGCCGCGATATATACGCGTCCAAAGACAGAGAGCTATTTTGATGGAACGGCTGAAGATTCCGCCGACCATTAATCAGTTTAGGAGTGGTTTTCTCGACAGACAAACAGGTATTGAATTATTGGCTAAATTGTTGACAAATTGTGTGCAAATGTATATTAGACTTAATTGTTTGCAATGCCGTTAACAGCGACCCAATTGTTCCGATTGCTCGACAAATATCGTCCGGAATCGAAGAAAGCAAAGAGAGATCGTCTTAAAAAAGACGCCGAATCTAAGGCCGCCGGTAAAGAGTCGGCGCCCTCTAAGAGACCGCCAGTTGTTCGCTACGGTATGTCTTCATTGAATTTTAATTTACAGTTGAATATTATCCATACGTTTACTAATCTGTTGAGAATTGTTTGTGTTTTAGGCGTCAATACAGTGACAACTCTTGTCGAGCAGAAAAAGGCTCAATTGGTGGCCATCGCTGCCGACGTGGAACCGATCGAATTAGTGTTGCATTTGCCGTCTCTTTGCCGCAAAATGGGAATCCCTTACTGTGTTGTTCGCGGCGGGCGCTCACGACTCGGACACGTGACCCGAAAGAAGGGATGCTCTGCCGTTGCGTTCACTTCGGTGGCGCCCGAGGATCGGCTATCGCTGACCAAACTGGTAGAAGTGGTCCGAACCAACTTCAACGACCGCTTCGATGAGATCCGCCGCCAATGGGGTGGAGGAGTGCTGGGCGTGAAGTCCAGAGCGAAGATCACTAAATTGGAAAGAGCCAAACAGAAGGAGTTGGGCCAACTCCAGGGCACCGGTCATGTCATCGGCTGAGCGACACTTTACTTGAATTTTCTGAATAAATAAAATACAATTTATAAACGATTTGTGTTATCCTTTGCATCGATACCCGCGGGAGAGAGAGAGAGGCGTTGAGAGTCAACTTGAGACCAAACATTGCGCAACACTTGTGCCACACATGTTGTCGTACTTTGTGGACAGACATAGTGTTGTCTTACGTGAGAAGTGAATGGAATCTCTCATAAAATCACATAAATTATCGCTTTTTATACCAAATAAGTCTTTAAAGCGTTTATTAATTCATCGATTGATTAGAATTACAATTAATTGATTGTTTTAATTGTGATTTGAGTATTGGTTTTGTCGACAATTGGTTGATATGATAGCAATTGTGCGGCAATTGACTCCATCTGAGCGTTGAATCCATTTGTGGACACATTTTCTATTCACAGATCTCTTGAATATATTTTTGAATGCAATTTAATATTGATTTTTGAATTGTATTTGAATTGCATTTCAAGCAAACCATTCACTCATTCACTCCTTTTTAGCATTCATTTCACTTTTTTATCTCAATTTTAACTAATATTTACATATAATTTACATTTTGAGTGAGAATTACATTGAATTCACTGAATATTAACTGAATTTAAAATAATAATTGATTAATAAGTGGAAGAATTGTATAGTAATTGTTGGCCGAAGAAGTGGTACAAAATGATGGATCCAAACATCGGTTGGTTTCAAGAGGAACATAAGGGACCGGCACTCGACCTCTGGAAGAACATATGGATCAGCTCTAACCCAACCATTGATAGACAGCCCGAATATATCCCTTTCGGTGAAGACGGCGGCGATGGCGGCCAACAGCCGGCCGTTGCGGCCAATAGTGGGCCCAAAATGAGTACAAACCAAACGAACGCAACGAATGGCAAACCGAACCCAAATAAGAGCCAATTGGCCGCCAGTCAGACACAGAACAAACGGGTTCGTCGGGAAAACCCGGCTTCCACTTACCATTTAGACGATAACCAGCATTTGCTCTCCAAATACAAGGGCACGCCGTGGAGAAGACTTCGGCCCCGATATAACACCGGAATCGTTGGTTTGCACGAAGAGGTCGAAGACTTTTACAATTACATGAAACCCAGACCTGAAGAGCACTCCATGCGAGAAGATGTGGTCAAACGGATTAAGAAAGTGGTGACCGATGTTTGGCCGCACGCGAAGGTCGACTACTTTGGCTCATTCAGGACTGGCCTGTATTTGCCGACCAGTGATATCGATATGGTTGTGGTCGGGAAGTGGGAATCCATTCCTCTCTTCACTCTCGAGAAGAAACTCTTGGACTCCGGTATTGTTGACGACACGACCATCAAAGTGCTGGACAAGGCCTCCGTTCCCATCATTAAGTTGACTGATCTTCAAACCAATGTTAGGGTTGACATCAGTTTCAATACCTGTAATGGCATCCGAAGCGCCAAACTTATCAAAGTATTTCTTATAACACATTAACTATTTTTAATAACACTTTACTAATTGTTTTGAATTTCATATCAAAAGCACTTCAAAAAACAATTTCCAAATCTTCCGAAATTAGTGTTAGTATTGAAACAATTTCTACTTCAAAGAGATTTAAAGGAAGTGTTTACGGGAGGAATCAGTTCTTATTCACTGATTCTAATGGTTATCAGTTTTATTCAACTGCACCCCCGAAAGGACGCCCAGAACCCAAACGCCAACTTAGGAGTTCTTCTTCTGGTAATACCAGTTGACGGCTATGTCTTTGAATTTGCTATTCATTTGTAACTGCATTTCTAACTAATAGGAGTTCTTTGAGCTCTACGGACGGCTTTTCAACTACTATCGCGTCGGCATTCGTATCAAAGACGGCGGTTCTTATGTCTCCAAATCCGAGATTCAGAAGCAAATGGACCCCAACTATAGGCCGTCAATCCTATGCATCGAAGACCCCCTCAACCCCAGCAACGATATCGGGAAGAGCTCTTACGGCGCTATTGTTGTTAAGCAGGCGTTTGAATACGCTTTCGATACACTGCATCAGGCCGTCGGCCCTCTCAGCGCAACCGTAGACCAAAGCCAAAGCATTTTGGGTCGCATTATAAGAGTGACCGACGAAGTGGTGGACTATCGCGAAGACATCAGCAAACGCTTCACCGCTCCCAAGAAGAACTCCATTGCGTCCACACATTCTGACGATCACTCGACCTCTTCGTCGTGTATGGAGTCGTCCGATGAATACAGCGATAATGTATTGATTTTAATGAATAGTTTGTTTTTCGATGTATTTTAACTGAATTTTGAATCACAGGAAACTGAAAGTCAGAACAATTATAAGCAAAACAACCAAAATTCTGCACGAAATTCGCCGACAAATACTCAACGAAACTATTATAACAATAAGAGTCATAACTATTCGAACCAAACGACTGGCAATCAGTACCGGAATAATAGAGACACTAAACCACAAAACTATTTACAAAATAGGAATCAAAATACATATCGATTCGGGAATAGAAATACAACTCAAATGACTCGCAAAAAGAATCCATTTTTTAACAACCGAAAGGATGGAAATTGATTTACAATTATTTCTCTTTTTTTAAATAAAAATTACATGTCTTTTGATTCCACTCGTGAAGAACTTATGCTTTTCTTAAAATTATTCTGTAAATAGAATTTAAATCACAATAAATGTATTTAAAAAACGTGAAAACGTTTAAATGGTTGTTAATGTCACAAATACTATACATTAAATTAAATACAATTAAAGCCAAGATTTTTTATTCATTTTTTATTGAATCAAAGTTTTATTGCATATGAAAATACATTAATTTTCAAATATTGTATTTAATAGAATAAAAGTATGAGAAAGAATTGGCTTTTATGTAACTTAATATAATTGAATTACAAGACAAATCCATCAATCAATCGGAAGTTGTAATCAATTATATATTCATTTTTAAATGTAAAAACAATGACTTGAAAAATTAAAATCAATTTTTTGTGATAAAAATCGAAATCACAGATACTTTTATGAATAGAAATGTATTCACTCTCTGCGTCTGGCTTTAAGGGCGCGGAGGGCTCTCTTAGCGGCCGTGCATTTGGCAATCCGTTTGTTGCGTCCGATGCCATAGAACTTTCCGAAGTCAAACACTTCCACACAAACACGAATTTTTCGACCAGAAATCAGATCAGGTTTTCTATTATATAAATACATGACAATTGAGCAAAAGTATGGCCACAAACCAATACATGTGTAGTAATTGTTAGAAAACTGACCCGAATTTGGCGTTTTGCGGCTCCATTTCCAGAAGCTCTCGGATCGGAGACTTAGGAACGTGTGAACTGAAGTAAACTGTTGTTCAAATGGAAAAGTAATTTCACGTCAAATAGTCATCGCTAATGAAGAGACAAATATAAAACAAACCGATTTCTGGTTTCATCATTCTGTAGTACACTTTCCAAACGGCATTCAAAGACATGCCACTGTCGAGGAATATGGCACCGGCGACCGATTCAAAGATATCTCCCAACGCTTTGGGCACTTCTATGTCCTCAGCGTTTTCCGACTCTCCCTCAGCGATGAAGAGATTGAAATCGTTGTTTGTGTGACTGTTGTGATCAAACTTATTGACAAAAGCCATCACTACTCGGAACAAATCAAATGAAAGCATTTTCAAGTGTTTGTAAAATTTGTATTTAACAGAAAGAGAGGCAAAGAATGTGTTGTTGACTAGAGCTGAGCGAAGGTCTGTCAGTGTTCCCGGAGAGTGACCCTCAGGGTCTTCGTATAAATATCTAGTAATCAAATAGTCGAGGACAGCGTCGCCCAAGAATTCCAGTCTTTGATAGCAATCCGTCACTTGGTTTTCATAATACGAATTATGAGTAAATGCCTGAACTAAATATGCCTTATCTCTGAATTCATAGCCAATTTTGCGCTCAAATTCATCCAATTTATGGCCCAAATATAGTTCATTGAGTTGTTTTTCAGCTCTCATCTGGTTTTCCTCTTCAGTAAAGTTGTCGTCAAAAGCTGTAAGAAGTGGTGATTTAGGTGTTGGCAACCAATGCCAGATCGGATCATCGGAATCGTCATTATTGACATCATGTTTGGGCATCACTTTAAGATCTAACCATTTCATGAATAGAAGGGCACCTCTCGGACCGCTCGATATGAGATACGCGCCGATCAATGCCTCCACACAATCGGCAATACTTTTGTCAGGAATCGAGTGTTGAGTTAACAGATTGTATGGAATACTAAGCGAGCTTTGAGTGCAGATTCGTTTCTTAGGCTCTGAATTGTGTCCTTTAGTTGAAAGCAATTTATCTCTAATCTGTTGCTCATTCAAAGTGTTGAGTCCTTCGAGTTTTCCGATGTCATACACCGTCGACTCATTATCCGTATTGGACTCAATCAATGCCTTTTCCAATCCTTCGGGAATCTATATTTAAAATTACAATAATTATTAACTAATATTGCATTTCAAACGGCATATACAGACCGCATAACACGGGGCACACCAGTTGTCGTTGGGCTCAAATTTGGTGGCATTCATGAACTGCCCGACGTCTATCTTCGTTCCCAATCGATAGAGATTTAAATTACTTATTTGACGGCTCCGTAAATATGAGAGTCGGCCCTCATGTATGGACGGACACACGCAATACAGGAATGCCGTCACAGCGTATCTATAATAACGCCATATATTAAACAATTGTCGAAATAAAAACACAACATTTACTTTAAGAAACTGTCGCCAACCGTTTCCAAGCGCTCCAGATTTATACCATCGCTCGCATTAGACATTGTCAGCGCCTGTAATATCATTGAAGGACTCGGACCCACTTTAGTCACGTCAGACTTCAATGGATCAAAATTCTCTATAAACGGCTGTTTTGAGCGCTCATTCATTTCGCGATCGGGTAACAGATCTCCAAAACTTTTTATCGCAATATATTATAAAAATCATTAGTTTTATAACAATTTATGTCTAAAATTTTATACAAACCAAAGAGTGTCCAAAGTTTTCGTCTCTCTATCCGTACTCTTGTCAATAGACAACAAATCTCTTTCAGAAGTTGGAATCAATTGTTGATCGGATTCTAAGTCATCATTTTCTTCATTCTCTTCATCAGAATAATCACAATCCAATTCATCCAATGTTTTCTCGTTTTCATCATTTAAATACGAACTCAAGAGTTCAAAGAGTTCTGACTTCTGTTCACAGCTCTGACCTGTTTTTAAATTGTCTGATAATTTCAACTCCTCTTGACTTTCGCTGGTATTCTCTTCGGGTGTTTCTTCAGTGCGGATATGTTTATATAATTTATTGATAATCACTTCGTTTTGATCTGTATTTTGTTCTGAAGCCACAGCTGAGTCGACAAACAACTCATATCCCAAAATATCTGCCACTTTATTCTTACCACTTTTGGTAAAAGCGGTCACATTTGCGGCAACTTTGCCGCTATTGGAAGGCTCTTCTCTGTCGTAATCCTCTTCATCGTCGCTATAGTTGTCATCCATTTCTGAAGAGCCGTCAACGCTATCGTAATCTTCTACCGGAAAGTTAGCCAAATCTTTGGTCAGACCCACGATATTGAGGCCATCAGATATCGAGATAACTTCAAGTTCGGGAACAGTAAAGCCGATTGGAAAGACAGTCGACGGTTCGTCAATAATCCACTCGCGGCCATCACTAGCCATAGGATGCGTAACGTTGAACAAACTCGGAGAACCCACGCGTACTATAGAGTGGTCATCCACTGGAGCCGAATCGTTATCCGCTATCTCCCGTAGTTGAGCGCCATTTTGTCTTGGATTATACATATCGTCGAGTCCCAGATTGCCTGTAATCACGACAGAACTCATTCCATTTGGTCCACCGATTATGTTAATAGGAATATTGGAAAACATCTCCATTTCTTCGGCCAAAAACTCTTCGTCATAGTCGTCGTCAAAATCATCAGAAATGACATAATTGTTTGGATCAAATGTGTCAATAACTAGTTCTTCGCCGATGTCCTGACCACCGCCGACAAGCAAAGGGGCGCTATTCTCAACAGTCATACTCTCATCAAAATCCCAAACTTCTTGAAGCGGCTCTTTTGGTTCATTCGGTTCATTAGATAAAACTATTTGTTTGCAATCGTTGTCAGCCATCTGTTCATCGGGAGAGCCGACATCAGTCCACCCGAAATCAAGCGGAGGCCAGGGCTGGTCAGCCGGCGGTTCAATAACGCCGACATCAGTCTCTTTGGCTATCTTTGTTCTCAACTGTTCGGCGACCAGAAGTGCATTCAATCTGAAGAGAAGGCACGGAAGACATACGGCTTTCCTCCATAAAGAAGCCGGAAATGGATGAACAATACAGAGTTCGGGCACTAATATCTGCTTTTGTTGCAAATTTTCGCGCTTCTCTTTCTTGGTTTTATCAGTACTCGACGGCAATGAAACGCCTCTTCTATTGACATAACGTGGCGTCAAAAGGTTAAGTCGAGCGGACGTGTGGTCCACGTCTAGTAATGGTTGGCTTTTGTTCATAATTTCGATGTTATATTTTCCTGAATAATACTTTTCAAACGTCTCGTAGCCGTCGTCGGGAAAGGGACTCTCGGGACTCAAGTTATGACAGATCTCCGCCACATAGAAGAAGAACTGAGGCTTATCTTTGCGATACCAGGGAATGACAACCGCGTCGTTGTATTTGTTTCCGTCAAATACAAAATTCTTTCGCTCTTCGGTTGTGAGAGATTCGGGCGGAAAGTCTTTATGCCGTTTGATTAGAGACACAAAATCCCAATCGATATCTTTATTGCCAGTATTGTCGCAAACATTAACGGGAACCACAAAGTGATTGGAAACCGCTTTTTCAGTGTTAAACAGTTGTGGATATTTGATAAGTCGGAGGACATCGGAGAACACAAACTTATGAAAGACTGAGAGTTCTTCGATTTGCTGAGGCGTTAAGTACAGGTCGTCCCGAATGGACACCAACTTAACGGTCACTTCACCCGAACGCGTAAACACCGGGAAATCGCAGATTAAAGGAACTCTATTTGTGGTCAGAATTCCAAAATTACGGGTCGTATCGGACGGATCGGTAATCTTTCGGCCTCTAGTGTTCTGTTCTTCGGGTATGGCTTGAGTCAACTTCATTGAGAACTCGTAGAGAAAACACTTCACGTTCTCATCAAATGGCCTATTCTTAAGGACGTCTGCAACTAATTTGGTATAGTATTGTCTCCTTTTGGTGGTTCCCGGACGCGGACCCCTCTCTACCCGTTCGACGTCTCCGTCGGGCTCGAGTCCCAACTCTTTAATGAAATCAATGGCTTCTTTTCCCATCGGAAGGAAGTTGTCGTCGAGCTCTCGTTTTTTGTGCAATATTTCGCAGGCATTAAGAGCGGCCGCTTTCTTCGCTGTCCTCTTGTTAGGCATCGCAACACTTCTTATTTCGTGTCTTATTTGAGAGTTGATCGGAAGGCGTAATCGACAGATGAATCGGCCATTACTTAGTTCTTCGATTCTGTATTGAGGCGTGAGTTTAGTAAACGAATCGGACGGAAGTTTCAAACAATATCTGTTGATTATAGCGATGGCTGAGTTGAGAGTCACTCGTGCCGATCCCTCTTCACTCTTAGGCATATATGGTTCCAGCAGTTGGTCGTCAAAGCTCTCGTCAATTTCCGCTTCAGTCGGAACGGATCGGTTATGACAGCAATCGTTGAGAATTTTCTCCGTTTCTTTATATTTATGCAAATTGTCGTTAATTTTATCGAATAACTCATTCTTTTCGACAAATATGACATATTTTGCGCTCTCAGCCCGAGCTCTGCCTTTGCTTTGGATGTATTCTCTGAAGGTTTTTGGCGGATCGTATCGGACAACAAGATTACAACGCGGAACGTCTAGTCCCTCCTCGAGCACCGAAGTGGCCACCAATACATTGCAATCGTGCGAACGAAACTTCTTCAGCGATTCCTCTTGTTTTTTGGTACTCATGTAAGAGATAGAACTGCTGCCAACGCCAGCGCTCCCGCCGTGGCCTAAAACAAAGTCTACTTTCAAGTGCGAGAAGTCATTGGCCTCTACTTTAGCCAATTCTTGTAACCAAAGACATAGAACTCGAGCTACAGATCGTCTTTCGGCAAAGACTATTCCGCAAAGATTTGAGACATTATTGGGTTTGTTATAAGTGTTGAGCAAATCGGCTAATACTAGAAGTTTGGGTGAAGAGTATTTCAAAAGTTTCTGCTTTGCGTCCAAACCTCTCAACAAATCACTTAATTGTACGTCAATTACGTTAAGAGCCGTGAGAACCGCTGACAAGAAGGCCGTGTAATGGGATTTAGTGGAGCGATACATCTCAACGGTGTCGCACAGCTCTCGGATGTATAGACGGGAGACCTGTTGCGCACACCAGACACCCATCGTTGCCAACACAAAGAGCGTGTCTTTTATTGATTTGCATAATGTCTTCACATTAATGGCGTTCTTCTGGAGCAACAGTGAGTCGTAATCGATGTCTTCGAGGAAATTAATGCACGAATCGGCGATGAACTTAAGGAGTTGGATGTTCTTCGAGACATACATATTGAATGTCGAGTAATCGATGATCTGTTCGATAGGTTTGGCGCCGTATTTGTTGACAGTCCGGAGATCTGATGCCGTTTCGCATGTGCTTCGAGTGGTTTCCTCCAGCTTTCGGATAAGTGCTGTGATCTCATTGGGCGACGCATTCTTCGTTATAAGACTGGCCGACAGACCCAGAATGCGGGGCTGTTTGTCGAGCGGACACGTGTCAAACATGCGAAGAATCTCGCGGTACGAATGGTTTTTGACGGCCCGATGCACCTCATCCAACACCAGAAGATTGATTTTAGACAACGCGATGAATCCCTGGCCAAGGATTCGTCGAAATATCTCATCAATCATTACAAACACGTCGTATTTGTCTAACTCTTGTGCCCACATCTCTTGATCCCAGCTGTCGAAAGTGGAGCCACAGTATTGACCGACTCTTAGGTCTGTGTGAGTCTCGATGACAGCCGCCTGTTGTGACACCAGAGGAATCAATGGCACCAAAAAGAAGGTACGCTTCCCATCGACCAGACATTGAGGCGACAGATGTCTGATAAGCATCACTGCTATGAATGTCTTTCCGCCGCCGGTATTCAGACAGACAACTGTATTGCGAGCCTTACAGACCTCATACAACTCGACCTGCGCTCCGGAGGAATGGTGTCATCGATTATGTCTTAACGCCTATTCATTGCATACCTGATAGGGTCTGGCGATGAAGTCTTTGGTCTCGACGGTCTCATTGCCTCTGATGTGATGTCTTCTGCCGTGACTGTGAGGGACACTCATCTCTCACTCTTCGCGATCAACCAATTGATCCAATCGTTTGTCACTTAAATCATACAAAAAAATGTTTACTTAAAAAATGACTAAAAAATGTTTTGTTTGAAAAACGAGTGAAGAATTGACTGAATGTATGCTTTCGTGCTTTCAATGCATTAAAAGTAGTGACGAAATGATTGGTGTTTGGCATCGACTCGAGTCTCGAGCCCTCCTCTCAACCACTCAAACACATCCACCGCTCAATACAACACTCAATACACACTTCACGGCAACCAATAGATCACTATTTATTGAATTTAATTCAAGTGTAATTGCATTCAATTGTGTCATAAATATGTCATTAATGAAAGACACCATCAAATTGAGTGTACAGTGAGTCGAGCGATGAGTACTCTCGAGCCGTCAGTGCATTACCAGTCAATACAAGCGCTGAGTTTAAAGCAGTGACAAAACCGATGCCTTCATTGGCTTTTGTTTGTCAATCAGTTTTCGCAACACTTTTTTTGAATCAATAAATTTGATGCAATCGTCGGCACATTTGTTGATCCCATATCGATATGAATGACACGTTTAAAGTGGTCTCACATTATGTAATATGGGTTTTGATTTTAAATTAAAAATTTTAATGCAATTTTAGCCTTCATTTCATGATTTGTCAAATAAATGCAAAATTCAATTTCATTTTTATGGTTGAATTAATTAACGGATCCATTGATTTAGGCCTCAATTCCGGACACAATATATTATGTGAAGGACTTCATAGACACCGATGAAGAACGATATCTTATGGAGAATGTGATGAATAGTCCGAAACCCAAGTGGACAGTGCTGTCCAATCGGCGGCTCCAGAATTGGGGCGGTTTACCACATCCCAAGGGAATGGCTAAACAACAGTTACCACAAGTAATCTCGTGTCATATCTTATAATCATTTATTTAATGGTTTTAACTGTTGTTTTATCATAAAGTGGTTACAAAAATATGCCTTAAAAATATCACAACTCAATGTCTTCGGCGGCAATACTGCTAACCACGTACTCATCAATGAATACCTGAGTGGACAGGGAATTATGGTTTGCATTACCAGTCATTGATATTACTGTTTAGAATTGATTTGTATGACTAAACCTTTGTATAACAGCCTCACGAAGACGGCCCTCTCTTCTACCCTTGTGTGGCCACCATTAATACCGGTTCTCATACTTTACTCGACTTCTACCACAAGAGCGTCGCGACGACTGTCGACGGCGACGATTCTAGTCCGCAACGAAAACCTATATTTTCACTACTTTTAGAGCCTCGAAGTCTAGTGGTATCGCAAAGCGATGCCTACGAGTCATACCTTCACGGCATACAAGAAGTGAAGAGTGATATCATATCCCAACGAATAGCGAACCTAAAGCTCTGCGACAGTCACGCGATGGGCGAACAGCTCGAGAGGACAACTCGATTGTCATTCACTATACGATATGTGCCTAAAGTTATCAAGAATTTAACTTTTTTCAAATAAAATATTTTTATCAAACATAGAAACTGTAATAAAAAAGTATTACATTTACGACATTCATGTTTAGCTACAAATATAGGAATGTAACCTGCACCAATAGGTAGCGTGGCCGAGCGGTCTAAGGCGCTGGTTTTAGGCACCAGTCCGAAAGGGCGTGGGTTCGAATCCCACCGCTGCCATTAATTTTATACTTTTTTGTTCAACAAAATTGATTATTAACTTTTATTTTAGAGTTAATTGTTTTACAAATATATTGCATTCATTTTATTTCATGTAAACATATATAGAATGAATTGGCTTTCAATGTATACAAAAACTAAAAGGTAAAAATAATTTAATATTGTATTTTATGGCATATTCTAAGCGAAGACAAAATTTTTCGTAAGAAAATACATAACAATCGGCTGAAGTAAACACAAAATCATTGCCAGATATAAACCATTTCTAGAATCGTTGGGAACACCAGTTTGAGTGTTGGCTTGCATTGCGATGTGAAGACTTCTCAACTGAATTTATCAAATAAATTAGATATTAATAATAAATCAAACAAAACATATACGGCTATTGCATACCAAGAAGAAGCCGAGAGATAGAGAGCAATACGCAAACATCACATAATAACCAATTTTGTCGAAAGGCATCGACACCAACAGTAGGGCCACAATACTATTGCAGACATCCATTAATACAATGTTTGATTCATTTTGAGTATTTATAAATTATAATGTATTGAATATACAAACCAAACGTATTTATATCCACCGAAAGCTATTGCGTGAAAGAATCCGAGAGAACAGGAGATACTCGACAAATAAAGTGACAATAAGACGATTATCACTTCAATGATAAGCCACGCCATAGCAGTGGACGCCTGAATGCCCAACAGTTCCGGAGAGAATCGGTTCTGAATTCCTAATATATATCCCGAAACGAGAATATATGTGACGAATGCCATCGTCGGGATGTAGAGGTCCGGAGAGTTGAGGTCATCTCTCGGCGCAATCGCTTCGTTCGGATTATAATGAGTCGACCAATCCTTCAATACATTTAGCAATGAAAACAATTGTCAAAACCGAATCAAGTGTATAAGACATGCGAACAATACCTTATGAGTGAAGGGGAAGAATAAAAGCAATAACTTTTTAAACACATAACTCGTGTCGACAGCGAAATAGTATTTGACCTAAAATTATCACATTATATATCAATCAATATATTTGATAAAATATGGTTTAACTCATTATCACATACATTACTGCCGACCCAACTCTTGCCTTTATTGACCAGATTCTGTCCGTATTGGTCAATGGCTGCGGCGGCCATCGGGTTCGCCAACAGCTGTTGTCCGGCCGTCAAAAGCAACTGTTGATTGAAGAGATTGGGAGCGTTGGACGGGTTCTGGCCATACATTTGCGGCATAAAAGTGTTGCCGCTATTCATATACGGGTCGTAAGTGTTTTGCTGATTGAAGTGTTGAGCGCTGGTGTCCTCAAAGAGTTGAGGGCCCGACGGGTCGTACGGCGACGAAGGGGTATAGAAAGGACCCGAAAATTGTTGTGAATTCGCGTCAAAGCCATCGTAAGAGCCGTACGGATAGTTGTCTTGATTCGGGTTCTGGTTGTGGTTCGGGTTTGGGTTTGCGTTTGGGTTTCGCGACCTATGAGTCGCGCCTTTCAATCAATAAGACATACAATTAGTGAAACACACAATCAATTCATGTCTAATAATACCTGAATTGTAAGCCATTCTTGTTTTGGGCCTTAACTTAGCTTTTAATCGGGTTTTGTATTCAATTCACACTTCAATCAAATGACAACACATTTACAACACATTACATAAACAAATGACTGAACGAGTCATCAATACTGTGGCAATACTACAGTTAAACCTCGTTATGACTAACGCTCAGTCTGTCAACACTCAAGTCTCTCACTTTATTTACATAGAAATACAATTTTAATTTATTATTTAATTTTTATTTAATTATTAAAAGTTTTCTAGTTAATTTAACATGTATTATTAAAATTCACATACAGTGTATCATAAAAAGTGGAATTGCTAATCATCTCTCTCTCTCTCTCTCTCTCTCTCTCTCTCTCTTAACCCAACTCCAAAGGGAAGGCTATTCGATATTCATAGTCAATGGTATTCTTCCGAATTGCAATGCAGACAATGTTTTGGCCGAACAGATGGTCACCCAAACTGAAAAACCCCGCCTCTCTCTCTCTCTCTCTCTCTCTCTCTCTCTCTCTCTCTTAATTAAAAATTAAAACATTTAGGATTTAAAATTTTAGTTTTTAGTTTAAATTAGTTTTAATTTCATTATAATATTAAGTAGTTTTACAAAATAAATTCAATGCCAGAATATTTATATTGTTTGCTCTTTAAAATTAATCCCAAATTATATCAATTTTTGGTTTAAAATCATTAAATATAAACACTAATTAAAACATAACATTTAATACATTAATAAAATATAACACAAATAAATTTGGCCAATAATTGTGGACAAGTATTGTATTGTGGAGTAAATGTAGAAATGCGGACATAATATCTGTTATAACTTATAAGAAATCGCTCTATTATTTAACATTAAAAGTAATTCAGAATAAAATATATTGAATTTTAATTAAAAAGCAAAAAATGATTATGATAAAAATATGTTAATACAATATAATTTAATTTAAAAACTAATTAAAAATATCAAAAAAGGATTAAAGAGTAAGAGTATTTGATTCAATAAAATTAAAGCCATTGATAACGTGGTTAATATTTAAGAGATACTGTTATAATAATATATATTTATATTAAAACTGACAAATCAGCGAATTATTGGATAATTAAAAGCTTGCTTCAAATTGTCGTATCGATTGAAACGGCCAGTGATCTCATAGAAGCGGTCTTTTCCATAACTTTAGTCAAAACGAGCCGTTAATGTGTGTTATAAGGCCTCGAGTGACATCTTGAGAGCCCTGTCGAGCATCTCTTCCTCACTTGGAAATTGATTCAATGGTTTAGACGTGGATTCAAGACTCATAGCTAAAGCCGCTTCCAATTGACGCTTTTCCTCTTCGGCATTGCTTTCGATACTCATTTTCATCACTTCTTCGAGTTCTCTATTTTCTTCTTCGGTCAACGATTGGTTCCGAACTTTCGATTTAGTCTTAGATTTGTTCACTTCGGAGAGGAGGCGGGGTTTTTCAGTTTGGGTGACCATCTGTTCGGCCAAAACATTGTCTGCATTGCAATTCGGAAGAATACCATTGACTATGAATATAGAATAGCCTTCCCTTTGGAGTTGGGTTAAGAAGAGAGATGGCGGGGTTTTTCAGTTTGGGTGACCATCTGTTCGGCCAAAACATTGTCTGCATTGCAATTCGGAAGAATACCATTGACTATGAATATCGAATAGCCTTCCCTTTGGAGTTGGGTTAAGAAGAGAGACAGGTATGTGTCGGATATGAGTTCGGGTCCCGTCAGCAACGAGTTTAAGTTAAACCATTGGCGACCGATCTTTCGGATTGTAAACCAATGCTCTCTATAGTTACAAATGTATGCCTTTTGAAGCCTTTCGGCATTCATGTCAAATACAGTCATTCATTATTAATCTCTTCAGACAATCAATGTATTCATATAATCATTGAAACAACTCTTACGTCGGATCCGTTTGGGCCGCCAACGAGATCTCATTACTGCCATTGAATGCAATCAAGTCGAGTGACCAAACCTTAAGAGCGCTGGCAATCACTTGCACTGAGAAGAAGCCCGAGTCGTCCATATTATCCGACGGAGACTTTACAGCCGACGAGACAATCAAATAAAATTAACCAATAAATGAGTCATTCATTACTTCAATAAATCTTCGGTATTCGTCCCGATGTTCGCCTCCCTCTGCCATCCGATGTCTCTCCTGTTCATCGATGTCTTGTGCCAACTGAGCCAAGTCTACGGCCGTGAAGTACTCGGCCTGAAGTAATGCATTCAAACAGTGTTGACCACACAGCGAGCCCTCTTGCTATCGGTTCCAGCCATTCATTATCACAACCAAATCAGTGGTCCATCCATTCAATCAAATAATCATTTAAATGTCCATTAATTGTATGTTTTTGTCAACAAAACAGATCCACTCTTAAGAGTTGAATTCAACAAACAATACCTTTTCGTGAAATATTGTCTCCATTTGTATCTAATATTTAGAAAATACTTTTAATTTATTTATAAATAAATGTAAATACAATTAAATATACAAATTATTTACAAATAATATCAATAATTAAATAATGAATCAATAAATTGAATTTGAAATCAGAGTTTCATTTTCGCTAACATTTCACTCGTGTTTCAGTGAAACCTATGTTTTCAACAATACTTTCCATACATTTCAATGCATTTGTCCTCAATTTGGCTCAAATTCACACTATTTTTGCAATATTTCTATGTTTTTCGCACTAAAAAAATATTAAATATTTTCGTAAATATTTTTATAACAATAAATCACTAGTCATTAGACAATTACATTAAACAAGTATTATATTGGCCACTTCGGGGGGTCATATCGTTGTCGACCCAATCGTTCGTAGTATTCGGCAATACTGGAACAGATCACCACAAGACTAACGCCCGCCACAATGCGCTTCCAACCGGTGAAGTACGGCTGTTTGGCGTAGTATTTGAAACCACCGGCCATCGCTTTCGGATCAGTTCTTCACCACTTGTCCCTCCTTTGATACTTTCCACTTTTGTGTGTGATTGTAGTCCAGATAAACACAGCCCAAGAGTATCGGCGGAATCGTTATGATATACCGATGTCTATACAGTTGTTTCAATACAGTTGTCACAAACTTGGACTGAATCTGCGGTTCACTCTTCTCAGTCACTCTAATCTCTTTCTGAAACAATAGACAAAACCATTGGAAAAATCATTATAACATTCATTATAGCATTGATTATAGCATTAATGATAGCATTAATAGTGGTATTGAAAGCACTGAATGAAGTGATGATTGGTTTGGAAAAACCGATTCACGAGTTGTGATGAAATGGAATTCAAAACTCGATTCAATCACTACTTTATCACACATTTGTGTCATTCATATCAACACTTGTGTTGCCATCACTTCTCACAACACAAGCCATTCATCACTCAATATGAGCTCTCAATCAAACACTAAGAAGACATCCAAACGATCATTGGATCAAACATTGGATCAAACACTGCATCACACGGACAGCGATGGCTATGAAAGCGATGGAAGCGATGGACAGACGAGAGCTAAGAAAGTCAAACAATCCATCGATTATGAGAAGACAATAGAGACTAATGACCACAAGTTAGACGAGAAGACACACGACGACAAGTGTTTGGATCAAAACAACGATCGCATCGACACAACAGACGACGACTTAGAAGACACCACAACACAAGTGGACACAACCGATGACCAAACGGTTCCCGAAAGTCAGTGTTTGAGCCATTCGTCGGACACCGAAACTGACCGCTCATCGCAATCGGTTCCCGAATGTCTGCAGAACCAAATAGTACCACAACTATGGACTCCGGAAGAATAGTCGCAAATTTTGGCCACAAATTCAATACATTTTCAAACAATATTTCGCTCACAACTCAACAGACAATAAGACAATCAAAACAATTAATAAACTCTTAATTCTTACCATTTATTCATCGATTGGAAACAAATTTAGTTTAATTGCTTACAAAAAGTGCAAAAATAGGTGTTTTTATAGTTTCTATAGTTACAAAAATATCAAAAAACATAAAAATCAGTTAAATATCAAACGAAACTTTCGCGAAAGACAATTGGTTATGAAATTTGAATAATAAAGAGCGCTTTATTTGTAAAGCATTTTATGTGTAAATCTGTTAAAATTGATTTTAATGTCAATTCATTTCGTGTATTATAGTTTGCTTTGAAAGCGCTTTCTGTTAACCAATACTTTAAACTTATTTAAAGAGCGCTTTATTTGTAAAGCATTTTATGTGTAAATCTGTTAAAATTGATTTTAATGTCAATTCATTTCGTGTATTAATAAGTATTTTTGATTAATTAACTTTAAATGTAAATAAAGTGTGTTTTTAATTCAACAAAATTAGTCTTAATGTTAGGAAAAGTTTAGATTTTTGGTATAGAAATGAATGCTTAAAACTATGAAAACTACAAATTTGGCACAAATATAGTGATTAACTATATTTTACTCTATATTTACTTAATTTAATATAAGTTTTAATTGCATAACAAAATGTCAATTAATGTTTAATTGTTTAATTCAATTCAGTGTCGGATGTAATGCATTGTGTCATTCAATGTATGCCTAAATATAGGCTAGTGTTGTAATAAGGGTTCGAAATGTTGATTAGTGTTGTAAAAGGTGTGTGTTTTGTACGGATGCCCGAAAGTGCAGACTTTTATAGCCATTATTTGCTATACTTTTTGGTGTGAAAAGCATTAAAACAATTAATTTTGAGAAAACAATTGATTGATNTCAATGTATGCCTAAATATAGGCTAGTGTTGTAATAAGGGTTCGAAATGTTGATTAGTGTTGTAAAAGGTGTGTGTTTTGTACGGATGCCCGAAAGTGCAGACTTTTATAGCCATTATTTGCTATACTTTTTGGTGTGAAAAGCATTAAAACAATTAATTTTGAGAAAACAATTGATTGATTTCGGGATCCGTTGACAACAAAAGTGTCCAAAATTAGTGCTCACCGCGGGTTGGGTTCAGACAAGAAGTGGTCGACAATGGAAAACCGGCTCGCCAGCTGGTTACTCAGCTTTATGTTGCCGAGCAGCTGGCGGGCTTCTCCAGCGCGGCGATCAGGAGTTGCCTACCTGTCGTGAGAGGTGTGGTTATTACCGTAGGTAAGTTGGCTCGACAGCAACAACAGCGACGACTCTGACCACGGTTTGTACCACTCGTGTCACTGCAACACATCCACAGACACTACAATCCAATGCATGTTCGCTATAATCGACAACACATTCAAAATGCAAACAATGAATACTTTTCTCATTCAAACATTTTTTGATTCATTTCTCGTTTTCATTCAAATCAACGTTTCATTCAATTATAACTTTAATTCACGACTCGTTTGATAACTAAATAATTACTTTATTTGCAATTTATTTAATGGTAGGAATGCGTGTCGGCTCTGACTATCAGGCATTGGTTCCCGAAATGGTCTCTTCATTGCCGGGTATTTAAAACAAATTGAAAAGTGGTTACGATTTGTGAGTCTATTAATGACTTAACTGTTTAGCGCCCGATCACGAGCCCGAACGGGCGGTACTGGTCTGGTCTCCTTGTAATGACATTCCCGAGACTAAACGTATGTCCCTTTAAATGAAGTTTTTGGCCGAGCGGTCGACCAATGAGTCGAAATACAACGGCTCGTCGACCGCCCGAAGAGGTCGCGCCGCTAGTCCTCAACGGATGGACAGCACTCTCCACACCAATAATGGCATCCATTCAACCGATGACAGCAACAACAGCGACGACTCTGACCACGGTTTGTACCACTCGTGTCACTGCAACACATCCACAGACACCACAATCCAATGCATGTTCGCTATAATCGACAACACATTCAAAACGCAAACAATGAATACTTTTCTCATTCAAACATTTTTTGATTCATTTCTCGTTTTCATTCAAATCAACGTTTCATTCAATTATAACTTTAATTCACGACTCGTTTTATAACTAAATAAATACTTTATTTGCAATTCATTTAATGGTAGGAATGCGTGTCGGCTCTGACTATCAGGCATTGGTTCCCGAAATGGTCTCTTCATTGCCGGGTATTTAAAACAAATTGAAAAGTGTTTACGATTTGTGAGTCTATTAATGACTTAACTGTTTAGCGCCCGATCACGAGCCCGAACGGGCGGTACTGGTCTGGTCTCCTTGTAATGACATTCCCGAGACTAAACGTATGTCCCTTTAAATGAAGACTATTTATGGTTACAATAAATGGATTGATTGACTGATTGTCTCATTTAGTGGACGATTACTTGAATTTGTCGAAAGAGAAGTACAGCTATAACAGCGAACAGGCGTTAGGGATGTTGTGTTGGCATAAATTCAATTTGGAGAAAGCGATGGCAGATCTGCCGAACTTCACGCCCTTTCCCGACGAGTGGACCGTTGAGGACAAAGTCCTCTTCGAACAGGCCTTTCAGTTCCACGACAAACACTTCCATAAAATAAGACAAATGGTATTGATTTGGTTTAATTGATTGCAACAAATGCTTATTTAAATTTAAACACTTTTAAAGTTCTTTGTATTCATTCAATGCTTTTGCAAATAATCGCTATTTTATTGAAAAATTGTTTCCATTATTCGCTAATTGTAACAAACATTCCCTCTCTTTGCGAACCAATTGTATGTCCTATGGATCAGTTGCCCGACAAATCAATTGCCAGTTTAGTTAAGTATTACTACTCGTGGAAGAAGACTCGGAGCCGAACGAGTCTAATGGACAGACAGGCAAAGAAGTTGACCTCTCATAAGGAAGATGGAAGTGATGTCGGATCGGATGGCGCTTCTGATAATGAGAGCGAAAGTGGAAACGGAGCCAAAGAATCACTGGTGCAGAACTCGAGAGATGGAAAGCCCATGTGTTCCAACTGTTTCACCACATCAAGCGGTCAGTTCCACAACACTAACAAAGGAGTTCTCTGTCGGACCTGTTATTCCTATTGGCGCCGAACCGGAGCCATGAAGAACACCACAAACCATAAGAAACACGAATCCGCTTCCAATCGACACAATATACAACTAAAGCCACGCAAACCTCCGCGAGGAATGTATTTAAGTAACGAAGACTTGACAGCCATCGCCAACGGACCGGCCGGACAGGGAGACGCCATTCTCAAGAGTCTCGACTCCGAAGTAATCACTTTGAAACGAAACGTTCAAAACAACAAACAAATGATTAGTCAATTGAAACATAAGATTTCCGACGGAATCGAAGCGTTCAGAACTAATGAAGTATTTAAATTTAAATGATTATTATTTTTATTCTTATTATTATTGTTATTCTTATTGTCATTTTTATCGTCATTTTCCTGTAAATTACATTTCATTTGATTGACACAATAAATTGATTCATTCGTAGACCACAACACGTATTAACAGCCGCTGGACTAACGATGAGCTCTTACTGGGCGTTCAGGGCGTCCGTAAATACGGCAAGGATTTTAAGGCCATCGCAGAAGTGATTGGAAACAAGAGCGAAGCTCACGTCCGCACCTTCTATGCTAACCATCAAAAGAGATTCAATTTAACGGCAGTTCTCAAGGAATTCGAGAACGAGAACGGAGTCGTTGAAGACGAAGAGAACAAAGACAAAGTATGCCATAAATATATAAAAGACATTTACAAGTATTGATTAATTGTTGAATTGTTGATCCAATGATTAGGAGGACAGCCAAACCAATTCGGCGCCAATCGAGAGGTCGACTTCTCCGCTCACATCCACTAACGGTGGCCTTCAGTCGACATCGAGTGTGGGCTCAGCGCCGCCTCCTTTGCGACCAATTCTCTCAACCAATACATCGATTGGTTCCAAATCAGAAAAGTCAAGTTTACTGCCCCGACAGCCCCCGCCTCCTCTCACCTCCACCTCTAACTCCCGATCCAATAAATCATAAATGAATACTATTATTGTTTGAAATTCTAAATTAAACAGTTTTTTGCACGAAATACTAAATACATTGCAATACCTGTAATTTGAATCCTAAATAATTTTAATAATAAAATATATATAACTTTCTATTTTTGACTTTTGTTTTTGAATCCATCGCTTATTTTTGTGCATTTCTTTAAATAATTAGCAATTAAATCAAGGCTTGAATTTCAATATATATTTTTAATTAAATGAATTAATGAGAGTTCAAAAAAACAATGCAATTTTCGTCGAAAAATCTCTTATTTATATATCTATTGGTTTAAAATAGGAAATTATTGTTCAGTTTTAATAACAAAAACAAATCTCATTTAAATATATTATTTTCTTTTTAAGACAAAAAGCTATTCCACTGACAATTAAATTACAAATACATTTCTGTCCAACATTTCTACCACAGGAAAAAAATAATGACTTAAAAAAACTTATTTCTTGCCTTAGAATTCGGTTCGCGTTTTGATATTTATATTTAAAGACAAATAGTTGTGATAAAAATAGTTGCAATCTTTGAGACATTTGTTGAGTTTCTAATCATATAATTATTTATAAATAATTACAAATCGATTAGAAATATATGTTTTGCTTATTTCTCTATTCATTTCGGAGCTAAAAATTTATTTAAAACCGAAGTCTAAGAACAGAAATAACAATTAAAAAACACAAATACGAAAAGAAACATAAAAACAATTAAATATAATTATAATAATAAAATGATTTCTATTAAAGTAAATATGCTATTAATATATCTTTGTATTTAAATAATGTCTTAAATAAAATAATAGAAACAAATGTAGTGTCAGTTGTGTCAGTAGTGGTGGCAGTGAATTATCATAAGCTTTAAATATACTGTAAAATTGAATTCAACCTATAGTTCAATAAGTATTGAGAAGAATAGCGATTGCTTTCATAACATTAACGTAAAGAGAATGTCATGAAAAACAACACTATCTTTACAATTATATAACCATTTATTAAATAACTTTTTTGCGAAAACAACAATCGATTCAACGATTGTTTTGAGTCACAAAAAACATAAAAATTGTTTTCAATTCATTTTCCCGATAAAGATATTCCTATAATTGAATGGAATTTGTAAACATTTAATTGAATTATGATATAAATGTAAATTTAATTTAAGTTTGATTTTTATGATAATGTTTTCAGTCGTAAGAATCAGTGCAGTAAAAGTCAATCTAAACCATGATTTTTGAACTAAAAATATGCAACAATTTTAGAAATAGACTGCCTTTTGATTTACACAAAAATCTTATTGTTTAAGATATATTGCAATAAAATCATCGCTAAAGTTGTGGCTTAAAATGTGTTTAAAGTAAATAATGTGGTCTTTACTCGAGTGAATGGTTAGAGCAATGGATGGGAAGCACAGCCACTGAACGGCACAATTCAATACAAAATGCTTTGACTAACTGTTTGTTGGATTTATGAATGGGACCAACGATTAAATATATCATAAACTCTATTCTCTCTTCATTTGTCGTTAAAAATAATTATTTCATTATTTTTTCTTTAATGTGAAGAATCCTCTCTTTTTGGGCTCGTCTTTGCGGTCGTCGTCTCCTTTAGCGGGCATTGTCTGCGAACGCGAGGGTCCGGGCGATGACTCCATTTCAGTGATGGCCGACTGAATCTTATTCATCCAGACGTTCATCTCTTCGTCTTCCTTCGCTTGGAACAGGAATTCTGCGCCATTCGGAAGCTTCAGTCTAAACACGTGCTTCTTCTTCGTATAATTGGCGGCAATTTCAATGACAATGCCTTTCAAATCAATGGCTGCTTCGCTGCCTTTGTCCTGTTTGTAGTGTTTCTGATCCTTATATGTCAAGAGTTGACCACTTTTTAAGACGACATACACTTTATCCCACGATCTAAATAATGGTTCCGTTAGTTAGACATAACCGCATATCAAAGATCAACTCATATAACACACCGATTGGAGGCCTTTTTAGTGGTCGATTCCCATTCGTGTTTGCGATTAAGTGAGCCCTGCTAATATTGCAGGAGTAGCCGTCACGACACAGAGAGACAAATAATTTCGTTAACAATCTATTTTACAATAAGTTTTAATTTCTTAACAAACATTTTCTTTAATTTTATTTAATCACTTACTCATCAAAATTAGTCAAATGAGTAGTGAATGAGTAGTGAATAAGTAGTGAATAAGAAGTGACATTCTTCACTGACATCTACCTACAACACCAACACCAGATGGACTGTGCCTACAGACTCTCAGTCACAGTATTATCCCACTGAAAAACGCAGAGGTTGACGACTTGCCGCTGAATCTCGCGCTAGAGATAGATCTCTTGTCTTTGGAAGTGGAAGGGATCGGGGCTTTAAAATCATGCAATTAATCAAATTATTGTATTAATTGGAAAAACATGCAAAAAGTAAACCGAAAATTAGTGATAGGATTGAGACGTCCGACCGAACACTTACTGGTCTGAACAGAGCGCGGCTGAGACGGAGACCGGGAAACAGGTGTAGAAATAGCTGTCGCTTCCGATACAGTCGAAAGGGTCGGAGTTTTAGGAGTTTGTGTTAAAACCACTTCTGCATGCGATTAACAGGTTATGCAAAATTAAAACATGCAATCATGCAATCAAATCAAATTTCATTCATAATTATATAATTATATAAAACAAAAGCCATTCAGACAGGAGTTAAGTCCCAAATTGATCCCAATTAAAGATAATTGGCCCCAAAACCGCAATTATGAGCCGTAATATTTCACCCGTTTATTAACCAAAGCGCAGATTTATAATATATTTGAAAAACTTACTCTCAATCTTCTCCTCGACTTCGACATCACCAGATGTGGCGCCAAATTCTGTGCCATCAGCTCTGCATTATAACAATTTTCAATTGGTATCAAAGCATGTTTGGAGTTGGCGTTCATTAACAATACCTATCATATGGTTGTTCATCGGGTGATATAGACTTCTGTGGTCTGAGTTTCGCCTGTTCTTCTTGACGGCGGAGTTCCTGATCTTCTTCTTGTTTCTTATATTCTTTCAATTCAAACTATTTTTCAAAATAAATATCAAATTTAATGAGTACTACGAATAGACGTATTCGTTATATAATCAACATTTAGACACAATTCATGCCATTAAATGTTTGCAAAGCTATGGTTTGAATAAATTTTTATCACCAATTAATTTGTTGTATTTTAAGAGTTCATAAAATATTTAAATAACAATCAAAACACAATATTTTTGACATAATTTTGTAAATGTATTGAATTTCAATACTAAAGAAGCATTTCTTAGTTTTATATAACACCGAATGGTGAGGACGTGTCGGCAGTTAATGTACTTTTTTGCCACAATTAACGAGCGCTTAATGGCTGTTATAATACTTGCAATCATTCATGGAATTAATGGGTTATTTGAATACATCTCAAAGTATTATCAAAAACAAGACATTAATGAGTGGCCAAGAAATGAGGGAAAAGTGTCACCGAATCATAATATCCATGCATTATAACAATTTTCAATTGGTATCAAAGCATGTTTGGAGTTGGCGTTCATTAACAATACCTATCATATGGTTGTTCATCGGGTGATATAGACTTCTGTGGTCTGAGTTTCGCCTGTTCTTCTTGGCGGCGGAGTTCCTGATCTTCTTCTTGTTTCTTATATTCTTTTAATTCAAACTATTTTTCAAAATAAATATTAAATTTAATGAGTACTACGAATAGACGTATTCGTTATATAGTCAACATTTAGACACAATTCATGCCATTAAATGTTTGCAAAGCTATGGTTTGAATAAATTTTTATAACCAATTAATTTGTTGTATTTTAAGAGTTCATAAAATATTTAAATAACAATCAAAACACAATATTATTTTTGACATAATTTTGTAAATGTATTGAATTTCAATACTAAAGAAGCGTTTCTTAGTTTTATATAACACCGAATGGTGAGGACGTGTCGGCAGTTAATGTACTTTTTTTGCCACAATTAACGAGCGCTTAATGGCTAAATATTATGAACGTTAGTAAGTACCTTAATTACCCAATAAACTTATGTAGAGTTTCATAATAGTTTTTGTTCTGTAATTACTCACCGGTTCTTTACTCCCTTTTCACAGTGGCTTAGTATTATAGGTGATCTGCGCATATGATCGTCGAGTTCGTCATAAGCTCTTCTTCTAAGCTCAACGTCTTGTGAGGGGTTTTCCTGTTCTTTCAACTCAAGCTTTCATACAATACAATAGAATAATACAAGTATTGGTCAACAATTAAGCACTCAATGGACTCTACATATTGTATTCACAATTCAATAAATCTAATCATTTTTCCAATCGATTGTGTATTTTATCAAAAATTTATTAAATCATAGAAATTCATGTCAAAATCCATACCGTTGTCAACCGTTCCAGAGCTGCAAATCTCTCCTCTTGTGCGGACGCAGATTTTTCAAAGGCCTCGTGTTTCTTAATGAGTTGATCCACTTCATCGATGGTATGCTATCATTCGTCGTTACATTAGATTAAATGCAATACAAAATACAATTTAAATCAACACTTACTCCCAATTCCTGGCTTAAGAGGTATGGATCCTGTGCCACGAGCCACGCCTCGGCCACCGCCGCGTCTCTCGCAAATTGGTATACTTCGAGAATGAGCTGCAAGTGTTCCCAACGCTCTTCCCATCGATTCATGAGACCTCCTCTTTGGTTCGTAAGCGTCAGTAGTTTTTCTTTGATTTCATTCGACGCGTAATGACTTCGATTGAGGAGCTCTTTACCCAAACTAACACATGAGGAGAAGTTGTCTTCTCGGGCGTCGATCTCAGCTTTAAGGCTCTGGTGGTTATTCATGAGGAGCTCAACTCCGGATACATCTCTCGGCTTCTCAGAGGTATTCATTTGTCTGACGACGTCTTCCATCCATAGAATTAAATCTCTGACCAAATTTAAGAAGCGGAAGAGATCACCGGTGTCTTCGAGTTTGACTCTACGAATGTCACACATTCCGAGAAGTTTTTTCCACGCGTTCGCGACGTCTAACTCTCTGTTCACTATATCTCGGGCGCGATCGCCGGCGTATGCCGTCTGCAGTTTCCCGGACTCGTCGCGGATCTGTTGGACAGCGTTTCCAAGCGTTTGTAAGTCGTGCTCGAAATTAGCCTGTTTTCGGAGTAAACTCGAAACGGACACCGCGTCCCGACCCAACTCGTCAGACATGGCGTTCTGTTTCTCAAGAATACGCGCGAAAACGTCTTTACAGTCGTGGAAAAACTTATGCAAATCCCACGACGCGGACAGCATTTGAGTGCGCGTTTCGATCAGTTCCAAGAGGTCAGCCCACGCCTCGTTCAATGTGTCCTTCCATTCGGCGATTGTGGCGCTGTCCGCGTGTCCGCTATTAATCAAATGGTCCGCGTTTTCGTTAACCACAGAAACTCTTTCATTTCCAGTCATTTCTGTGTCTCTCGCAAAGGCTTTGAACCTCTCTTTAAGGAGAGAGACCTGATCGAAGTCCTGACCCAATTCGTGAGAACCGGCCACTACTTCGCGTTCAGCGATCCATTGCATTATGTCATCCACTTCTCTGTTCAATGAAAATAATTTCAACGCTTCTTCCAGTTTAGCGCGTCTTTCCAGTGAGAGATCCTTTAGACCGGCGTATAGTTTATCCACTTGTGATTGACGGACACCCACAGCATCACTACAACACAATTCATATGTAAACAACTAATTGTATCAAATCTAACTCAAAACCCATACCTCTGCGGATGTTCTTCATGGATGAGTTGTTTGGAAGTCTCACCCAATTGTCGAATAGTCTCCGCGTAGTCCTCCACTGCATTCTCGAGTGATTCGTGTTTTTTCATGAGGTTCTGAGCGCTAAACTCATCCTTTCCTCTGTCGTCGACCATCATATATAACTCCTGTTCACTCATCCAAGACTCAGCTTCCGAGACATCAAAGTAGTATTTCTGAGCTCTTTCCGACTCCAAGAGCTTAGCCTTTCTATTATCCATTTTGTCTTTGAGTTGTGCCCACACTTCTATCAACTCATTGATAAGACGCTCAAATTCAGACGAATCTTCGTGTCCCTCATCAATAAGTTTGCGGCCATTTTCGCATATATTGCGAATCCTCGGCTCGTGATTATCGATTTCGGTTCGTAGCGATTGATTTTTCTTAATAAGCATCTGAACGCTGAACAGACTGTTGCCGTAGTCAGAGCTGGTGGCCAATGGCATCTTCTCCTGAATCCACATCTTCTCGTCCTCGACATCGCGTCTGAACTGATACGCCTCCTTCTTCTTAAGCAACTGATTCTTCCTCTCGAGAAGCGGCGCCTGAAGTCTTTGGAACCTCTCCTCGACGTACACTTTCTTGGCCTTAATCTCGTCGGTCTTCTCGGGTTCCATCTTCTCTAAGTACTCGACCTGAGACTCCAATTCATTCACTTGTTTCGCTTTGACAGCCATTTGTGTTTCGATCATTTGTTGCTTTTCTAATATGAGTTTAACACTCGTCAAGTCCTGACCGGTCTCTGAAGTCAACACTTGACTCTCCAATTCGGTAATCCAAGTGTCGATGTCGTCACACGTCTGTTCGTATAGCACTTGTCGGTTGGCGTCAAATAATTTCAGACCCTTTTCACTGGTAGTGCTCTCGAGTGCTTCAAACTGTTGCTCCAATTCGGCTAATTTGGGCTCAACCAGAGAGTGCATCGATGGCTTCACTTGGATCAGGTTCTGGCCTTCTTGTTGCACTTGAAACAGTCGGTCTTTATTGGCCGCTATTTCTGCCTCAAACGCCTGATGTCGAGTCCATTTGCTGTGAACCGTTTTAGCGCTGCGATAGGTCTCGTCCTGAGCGATGATATATTTCTCTTGAATCCATTCGTTCAGTTCCTGACAATTCTGGAGGAATTGCTGCAATTGGAGGTCATCTCGTAGTTTATCGGTCATCTGCTGAGCCTTTTCTCTGTTTGATTGTCTCCTGTCGTTAACATTTTCAGCTTTTCTAATGATTTTGTCGGAATCAAAATGTTGTTCTTCGCTGAGTCTGTGAGCGAACTGAATAACGCCATTGATTTTGTCGTCATTGGCCTCCATTGTGGTGAGGAAAGCCTCGTGTCGTTTGAGAAGATTCTCCGCCTGTTCTAATGTGGTCGGCGTCTCGTCTTTGGACAAGTAGTTCTCCTGTTGATTGAGCAACACTTCCGCCTGTTTTGAATCGCGTAAAAACATCTGAAGATTCAAACTCTGCGACAACAGCTGCTGTCGGTTTTCCCACATCTTATGCAATTCAGTCCAGCCATCGCTCAGCGCTTTTAACCTCTCGCGCAGAAACATGTACTGCGGGTCTGTCTGGTCGTGAGTGATTCGGTGCCCGTATTCCATCATTGAGTTGTAGTCTTCCGTGTAGTTATCGATCTCTTCGCGGATCTGCTGGTGTTGACTCAACAGCTTCTCCGCTTCGGCCAAATTGTTAGGCGTGTCCTCTGACGCCACGTCTGTTTGAGTCTTTGTGAGCCACGCCTGGAAGTGATCCAAATCTCGAAGGAATCGGTGCAGATCTCCGGCCTCTTCCAACTTCGCATCTCTATCCTTAAGCAATTGCGTCAACTGTTCCCAAACTTGCGATATTTGTGACACACGTTCAGAGATAGCTTCCACTTCTTCGGGATGGTCAGCCTTCATCTTATCTGCTTCTGTCTCCAACTGATCCAACTGGACCTGAATGGCCGCCAAATCTCTCTCCATTCCACTCAGTCTTCTTTGGAGAGTCATAATACCCGTCAAATCATTTCCTAAGTCTTCGGTTGATTGCAATAATTTAGTCTTTTCTTCGATCCATGAAATAGTCTCTCGACATTCAATGTGGAAAGTCTGGACGCCATGCGCTGAATTGATTTCCTCGCGTTTTTGTTCAGAGTTTTCGCGCAATTCAGACCATCTGTTTAAAGAATAAACACAAACTTAAGATAGTGTTAAACACAATCACATTTATTAAGTCTAACCTTTGGTTGAGTTGGTTCTGACGCGCGAGGATTTGTTCAGAGTTGGGGTGCTCTACGTTCAGCAGTTGGGCCGCCAATTGGTTAACAAACGCCACTTTATTAGCGTTTGAATTCATCTCCTGATCAAAGGTCTCGAATCGATGTTTCATAACTTCAATGTCTTCCATATCTCTGCTCATTACCATTGAAGACAACATCTTCTCCTTTTCGGCGATCCATTGCTCGACGCCATCGGCTTCGCTAAAGAGCTGATAAAGAGATATGGCGTCCAAAAGGCGCTGCTTTCGGAGTTTAGCCAATTCGAGCAGTTCTTTATAGCGGCGCTCAATCGTCGCGATTCTATCCAACACTTCCGGGTCTTGTCTGTCGGATTCTCCCAATGAATTTGACTGCTCTTTCAAAGCGTCGATTACTGATGAATAACTCTTCAATTCTTCTGCGCTTTCATTGTGTTTCTTAAGCAAAGACTGTGCGTTCGCCTCATCGACGCCAACGTCTTCGCTGGAGACCAAACGCAGTGTGTCTAACATCCAGGCGTCCACATCATCCGCATCAGCGAAGAACTGATGGAAATCAATGGCTTCAGTCAATCGCATTGTCCTCAACGCCTGGAGTTCCTTAAGGTTGTCCCAAACGCTCATAATTTCATGAATGCGTTGTTCAATATTTTCAGCTCCAAAATGACCGGCATTTATGAGATCGTCGCCGACTCTGACGACAGCCATCAGCTGCTGCTCGTGTGCCGCCAACTCGTCTTCAAGCGCTCTATTCTTACTGATGAGCAGATGAACAGTCGTTAAGTCGTGTCCAATCTCTGCAGAGGAGAGGATCTGTTCCTTCTCTTTAATCCAAGCCTCCTCTTCAGACATATCCCAATAGAATTGCCACAATTTGCGGGACTCCTCGAGTTTGCCTCTTCTATCGATGGCCAGTTGGACCAGTTCTGAATACGCGGCCTCTAATTGTCTGATGCGTTCGTCAACAATCTCTGGATCACACGGTTTGTAACCACTCAACGATTCTTCAGTAATAAAGTATTGCAAATTATGAACGACTGTCTTAACTCTTTCGCCCAAAACATTGATATCCGCCTCAACCAGACTGTGCTTTTGGAGCAGATCTTCGACACCCATTAAATGCTTTCCAAAGTCGTCTGATAAGAGACGGGCTTTGATTTCGTCCGTAGAATCCAATATATAAACCATTTCTTGGAAGGACTGCTGCAAAGCCATTGACATTTCAAGTCGTGATCTTCTGTTTCGCAACAATTCCAACAAATAGTTCCAAAGTCTGAGAACATTATCTTTGCGCGAATTGATGCGATCGATGTCGTGATAGTTCTCGGCCTCTAATTCCAGAGCAACGGCGACCACCGCTTGAACTCGTTCTTCGTAAGCGAATATATCCGTCTCAATGGCTTCGTGTTTCTTAGCCGCCGCCTCGACTGCCGGCAAATCAAAACCAAAGTTGTCTTGAGAGACAAGTCGTTGATTCTCTGAGAGCCACGTCTCCCTCATTCCGGCCTTTCGGTCGAAACGTGCGGCCAATTGTTCCAATTTCTCCTGTCGTATGAGTTCTTCTCTCAGAGCCAACTCGCGCTCGTGTTCGCCCTTTTCGAGCCGTTCCCACGCCTTGTTTATATCGGATATCATTTTGCCCTCTTTTGGCAGATATGGCTTCTGATTGTTTGCTCGCATTTTGCTTTGAAGTGTGAACAAAAGTATTTCCAAATTTCCCTTTTCGATGAACTTCGGGGGCTTTTCGACGGTTCTATAGTTACTAAAGGCGGACAACTGTTGCTGAACGCCATTCAAAGAATTGGCAAAATTCCTGTCAGACAACGAGTCGATCATCTGTTCAATCCATTTAAGCAGATCTGATGTGAGGGTTTCGTATTCGTGAATCATATTCTCGTTGTCCATCGCCTGTCCAACAACTTTGCCGATACGTCTTCCCTGAACCGTCTCGGCCTTCATCTTCGAGAAGTAATGATAATAAGTGACGACATATGTAATGATAGACTTCTCGTCCGGATTTTCTGTGAACACGTCTTCGGCGTCAAGAAGTGAAGCCAAACCTAATTTCTCTTCGGCGACAGTGAAGGCATTGTTGAGGTTATGAATTGCATTGGATTTCGAGAGTTTGTCGTATTGTATCAAATCTGGTCTATGTTTATGAATGAGCGCATTGAAGGCCAGACCATCTTTCCAACTGTTGGTGAAGTTACGGACGTTCACCGCGTGATAACCGGCGGTCTTCATCTGACACCATAACAATAGCGCATCCTTTGCTGACTTCGTCTCCTGATTGTCCACCTCTTCGATAGTGATGTCTTGTATTTGGAACCGCAATATAATGGTCCAAATGAGACCCAGAGTGAGACGAGGATTGCCGTCAACGATATCATGGGAACCAAGATTTTCGAGATGTACTCTCTGTTCGCGTAACAGAAACTGCAGCGCTTTGTCCACATTCTCCAGACAATGGATTCTCATCTTTCCTTTAGTCGGCTTTTGCAGTCTCTCTCCCGAAAGGATTTCTAATAATTTAATCAGGTTTTTGCCATCTCTTAGATCTGTGTATAAGTCGGTGATTCGGCTGTTGGCGCGAACCAGATGTGAGTTAACCCATTTGCAGAATGTCTTCTTCTGGACCGACTCGCGTTCATCTGCAGAATCCAATCAAATGAGTCATTAATAATCAATGTTGAATCAAATATATAACTCGATGGTCATTACCTGCCAATGCTTTTATACGGGACCTCTCGAAGAGTCTGGAGGAGCTGTTGCCGCCGTCGTAGTCGTAGTCCTCCTGGTCTTGTTGTGTGACCGGATCCCATCGCACCGACACTCCGATATCGGTCGTCATCTCTCAACGCTAGCCTTTAATCGCAAATCGTTAACAGATAATCATTACATCAAATCATAACTGTTGACACATTTATGACATATTTATGCCAAATGTTTTCAATTAATACATGAAATCAAAACTAATTTATGTTAAAAGATTTCAAATTTCGTTATTTCAAAGTTACTATCATTTAGTCCTTGAATTCAAACACATCTCCCAATACTAAACGAGTGATTAATTTCTCAAATATTTCCCTAAATTTTATAATTATTTTCGATATAAATATATAATTTTAATTGTATTTTCACTACAAATATTGAGATTTAAATTGTATTGAAATGTATGTAAAATAGTTTAACATATAATAAGCGATGNTTTCGTTATTTCAAAGTTACTATCATTTAGTCCTTGAATTCAAACACATCTCCCAATACTAAACGAGTGATTAATTTCTCAAATATTTCCCTAAATTTTATAATTATTTTCGATATAAATATATAATTTTAATTGTATTTTCACTACAAATATTGAGATTTAAATTGTATTGAAATGTATGTAAAATAGTTTAACATATAATAAGCGATGGAAAGAGTGGTAAACCGGGAAGTGATGGGTGAGACCATTGAGACCAGCCTTTCATTACTATTAATGTGTAAAAAGTTATTCATAACTCATTTAAAAGGCAATATAAATGCACACAAATTGAGGTCTCATTTCGGAGTCAATGTCTTAAATATACGGCAAAGAAGTGGTCATTAAACGATATAGTCGTCCATTTTATGGCCATAAATATCACTACAATTAGAGGTTTGATTGATTGACGGGTTGTTGTCTTCACAGACATATCAGACATAAACCACACCCGATATTACACTCAATGCTAATCATAATTCATATTCAAAAACTATAGTATTGTTTATAACATAAGACTAATTGGTATAGCATTTAGTGAAATAAATTCAATACTCAATATATGTGTAATACAATAGCCGTTGAAATAGCAATGAATCCAATGATACGGTAAGTGATATACCGATTGGCGAAGACATCGCTAATCACAAGTAATGCTTGAATGCATTGAATTAATTCAATACTCAATATATGTGTAATACAATAGCCGTTGAAATAGCAATGAATCCAATGATACGGTAAGTGATATACCGATTGGCGAAGACATCGCTAATCACAAGTAATGCTTGAATGCATTGAATTAAACGCTAATTATATATACATGTAATGATTGAAGCGATCGTTTCGTCCCATAGTATCGATAGTAAGAGTTTGTCATTAAATATACCAAAACTGATTGAAAACATACCTTTAGATGAATGAGTGATTGTGTTATGATTTGTTCACTGATTGTTAAATAAAAACATTCAAATCAATGGTTAAACTATAATACAATTGAATGTGTAATGTGTGAGTCATTTATGCATTTGGATTGTATTAAATGCTATTAAAGCCAACACTTGCCTAACGTATAGAGGAGTGGAGAGCAACACAACACACCATTGCCTACCACTATATAACCGTACAATACATACACAACACTACAGCCCATACACTGTATGTAACATTCATACAGTATATCTGGTATTCACTCATTCATAGACTATAGCCAGCGATTGAGTCACTCGTAGGCAGTGATGAGCGCAACAAAAGCCGACCACTAGTGCTGTTTTGCGCATACAATACACCGCATACTCGACGGCACAGTCTGTACAGCACTATAAGCCACTCTACGGCATGGGTGTGGCTCATCATCCCTTCCCTATCTCTCTATACTATGGAAATACAGTATTATTACCACTATTTATACAAGTATTGTCTAATCTCTTGTCCGTATAATACAAGTATTTGTGTTTATCTTCATGTTTGACATTAATGTATAACATTCATAGATATCAACACTTTTCCCAATGCTTTGCATTACTTTCTAACATTGATATCAATTTTATTCACTCATTAAAGCACTAGTTTATGTCACAATAACTTTTAAATATTCCGCTTAAAACTTATTAAACTATTTTATCGATTTGAGAGAGAGAGAGAGAGAGAGAGAGAGAGAGAGAGAG